TAATTGCCCAAAACGTTTAGGAATAAGGGGCCAAAAAGGGGCCAAAAATGGGCCAAAAATAAGCATTTATCTAGTTTCCAGACAATAACTTGTGTTCAAGTGTATGGATCTCTCTGAAATTGTACTGCAAGGTACCATACCACAAAGGGAAGGCTGGGATTGAGTTTGGGGGTGATGAATCATAAGGGGGTTTAAAAAATTTGGGGGGGGGGTTCTTTTTTTCCTTTTTTTTTTTCTTTTAAAATTTTCCATTTTAAGTTGGTTATTTCTGTTTTATATTTAAAAGCAAATAATAATGATATGGTAGGAGATACACACCAAACAGGATGTGTAAATTATTATATAATAAGTATTGTGCAATAGCAAGAAATTTTCAATTGCACAGTATTGCACAATAGCAAGAAATCTTCAATTGCACAGTATTGCGCAATAGCAAGAAATCTTCAATTGCACAGTATTGTGCAATCGCAAGAAATATCCAATAGCACAATATTGCGCAATAGCAAGAAATTGTCAATTGTACAGTATTGCGCAATAGCAAGAAATATTCAATTGCACAGTATTGTGCAAAAGAAGATACTTCGTATAAATTGCTTATTTCTTGATCAATTTCAATGGGGTTTTATTCTTGAATTCTTGGGGTTCTTTAATATGCTGATTCTAACCGTGTATTAAGTTTTTGGATTTTGGACCCAATTTTTAAATTGGTCCACATTGCGGTCCCAAGGGTCCAAAATTAAACTTTGTTTGATTTCATCAAAAATTGAATTATTGGGGTTCTTTGATGTGCCGAATCTAACCGTGTATTTAGATTCTTAATTTTTGGTTCCGTTTTCAAATTGGTCTACATTAAGGTCCAAGGGTCCAAAATTAAACTTAGTTTGATTTTAACAAAAATTGAATTCTTAGGGTTCTTTGATATGCTGAATCTAAACATGTATTTAGATTTTTGATTATGGGCCCAGTTTTCAAGTTGGTCCAAATCAGGGTCCAAAATTAAACTTTGTTTGATTTCAACAAAAATTGAATATATGGGGTTCTTTGATATGCTGAATCTAACCATGTATTTAGATTTTTGATTTTTGGGCCCCATTATCAACTTTGTCCACATTGAGGTCAAAAGGGTCCAAAATTAAACTTTGTTTGATTTCATCAAAAATTGAATTCTTGGGGTTCTTTGATATGCTGAATCTAACCATGTATTTAGATTTTGGATATTGGACCATAATAGGTGAATGTCCAATTTAAAATTTTTAAGTTCTTAGACCACATTAATTCTGTGTCAGAAACCTATGCTGTGTCAAATATTTAATCACAATCCAAATTCAGAGCTGTATCAAGCTTGAATGTTGTGTCCATACTTGCCCCAACTGTTCAGGGTTCGACCTCTGTGGTCGTATCAAGCTGCGCCCTGCGGAGCATTTTATTACAGTTTGTTCTTATATTGTACTGTTACACTACTGTCCCAGTTTAGGGGAGGGTTGACCGCTCACAAACATGTTTAACCCTGTCATATTCTTTATGTGCCTGTCCCAAGTCAGGAGCCTGTAGTTCAGTGATTGTTGTTGGTTCATGTGTGTCAGCTCATATTTGATTTTTATACGGCTGCAAAAAAAATTTGGGGTTGTATATTGCTATCACGTTGTCTTGGCGTCGTCATCGTCGATGTCGTCAAAAGACATTTGATTTCCGGACAATAACTTTAGTTTAAGTGTATGGATCTCTATGAAATTTAACCAAAAGGTTCAATACCACAAAAGGAAGGTTTGGAATGTTTTTGGGGGTGATGGTCCCAACCGTTTAGGAATCAATGGCCAAAAAGGGGCCCAAAACAAGCATTTTTCTAGTTTCAGGACAATAACTTGTGTAAAAGTATTTTGATTGCTCTGAAATTATACCACAAGGTTCAATACCACAAGTAGAAGGTTTGGATTCATTTTGGGGGTGATTGCCTAAACCATTCAGGAATTAGGGGCCAAAAAGGGGCTAAAACAAGCATTTTTCTAGTTTTCAGACAATAACTATGGATGTCTCTTGAATTGTACCACATTTTACAAAAAGAAAATTTTTTCAACTGTTATTTTTTTGGAAAAAAGGGGGGGGGGGTGTAAAAAAAAAATTTGGCAGGGGGGGGCAATTTTTTTCCTCAAGATTTAAAATTAAAAAGAAAAGTTCTTCAATTTTTCATTTTTTTTGGAAAAAGGGGGGGTAAAAAAGATTTATTTTTTTGGGGGGTGTCAATTTTTTTTTCTCAAGATTTAAGAAATTGTCAATTTTCCAAAGAAAAATTGGGGGTCACAATTTATTTTGAAAATTCTTTGTGTATAGTCTGAAAACAGATTTACTAAGTACTGCCGACAGCACAGTGTATTGCACAACAGCAAGAAATCTTCAAATGAATATAAATTCAAATCATATAACAAATTTCAAGTTCTTTGACTACATTTATTCTGTGTCAGAAACCTATAATGTGTCAAATATTTAATTACAATCCAAATTCAGACCTGTATCAAGCTTGAATATTGTGTCCATTTTTGCCCCAACTGTTCAGGGTTGGACCTCTGCAGTCGTATCCAGCTGCGCTCGGCGAAGCAGTTTATTTGTAAATTGTTTTGTTATATATAATTAGGCTGTTAGTTTTTTCGTTTGAATTGTTTCACATTTTTGATATCGGGGCCTTTTATAGCCGACAATACACTTTGGGTTTTTCTCATTGTTGAAGGTCATACGGTTGCCTATAATTGCTTTCATCCACTTCATTTGAACTCCGGTGGATAGTTGCCTCATTGGCAATCATACCACATCTCCTTATTTTTATATTATATACCTGACTTTTAAACTTGTGTTTTCCTGAACATGCATGAAATGTTTGTCACTGGACGTTAAAAATAAGCAACCAACAATCAATCAATTTAAACCTGTTTGTGTTAAATAAGGGGAAAACCATTTGATATTTATTGTTTTGGGGTTGGGTGGGGGACCTGAGGATTTTGAATATGAATATTAAATGGTGGCCTGGTAAGAGCTGAAAAAATATGCATTATTATCGACAGGTTAAGATAAATAATAAATCTGCAAAAAATCCTCCTGCCCCCCTCCCCACTCAAGAATATCAAATAGTTATCCCCTTACTGTTATTGTGCGTGTGGTTCTTATATTTATACAGCTTATCGTCTCTACAGGGATGTCCTCTAAGGCTGCAATACCATAAAAACTTTTATCACTCAGCTCAGATTCTATTATATCTGCATTCATATATTTATCAATGTCATTAAGACTAAATGACGCATTGTTTGTTATGTGCCTCTGCCGTCTAAACTACCTATTTAAAAGGAAGAGGTGGAACAGAGCTGGAAGATCTTCCCAATGCAAAAAAAAAAAAACAGAAATGGATCTCTTCTGGCTCACAACCAAAGTACAAAAAACCAGAAATGGATCTCTTCTGGCTCACTACTGAGGTACAAAAAAACAGAAATGGATCTCTTCTGGCTCACAACCAAAGTACAAAAAACCAGAAATGGATCTCTTCTGGCTCACTACTGAGGTACAAAAAAACAGAAATGGATCTCTTCTGGCTCACTACCGAGGTACAAAAAAACAGAAATGGATCTCTTCTGGCTCACTACCCAGGTACAAAAAAACAGAAATGGATCTCCTCTGGCTCACTACCGAGGTACAAAAAAACAGAAATGGATCTCTTCTTGCTCACTACCGAGGTACAAAAAAACAGAAATGAATCTCTTCTGGCTCACGACCGAGGTACAAAAAAACAGAAATGGATCTCCTCTGGCTCACTACCGAGGTACAAAAAAACAGAAATGAATCTTCTGGCTCACTACTGAGGTACAAAAAAACAGAAATGGATCTGTTCTGGCTCACTACCGAGGTACAAAAAATCAGAAATGGATCTCTTCTGGCTCACTACCGAGGTACAAAAAAACAGAAATGGATCTCCTCTGGCTCACTACCGAGGTACAAAAAAACAGAAATGGATCTCTTCTGGCTCACTACCGAAGAACAAAAAAACAAATGGATCTCCTCTTGCTCACTACTGAGGTACAAAAAAACCGAAATGAATCTCTTCTGGCTCACTACTGAGGTACAAAAAAACAGAAATGGATCTCCTCTGGCTCACTACCGAGGAACAAAAAACAGAAATGGATCTCCTCTGGCTCACTACCGAGGTACAAAAAACAGAAATGGCTCTCCTCTGGCTCACTACTGAGGTACAAAAAAACAGAAATGTTATGTGCCTCTGCCGTCTAAACTACCTATTTAAAAGGAAGAGGTGGAACAGAGCTGGAAGATCTTCCCAATGCAAAAAAAAAAAAACAGAAATGGATCTCTTCTGGCTCACAACCAAAGTACAAAAAATCAGAAATGGATCTCTTCTGGCTCACTACCGAGGAACAAAAAAAAAATGCATCTCTTCTGGCTCACTACCGAGGTACAAAAAATCAGAAATGGATTTCTTCTGGCTCACTACCGAGGAACAAAAAAAACAAAAAAACAAAAATTGATCTCTTCTGGCTCACTACTGAGGTACAAAAAAAAACACGCCCCTGTTCTTCAAATTTAATTGTTTTTTTAAAAGTCATTGTTTGAGGTCGAGATAAAAACAAAATATATGGATTATTAGGATATATAAAATCACTTAATAAGAAAAAGACAAAACAGTACTGTAGAAAGAGGAGTTAGAGGACACACTGTTTAGAAAATTTTATAGAATTTAAGTTCCTGGTCATTAAATGTGACGAGGAAAAAAGTAAAAATTTTTGAGTTTTGTTTATATCTAATTTTATAAATTTTCAAACACAAACAATGTATTAAACTCATAGAAATAGGTTTCTTAAATTTTATCAGACCTTGAAGAAGAAAAATTGGTATTCAGGCATTTTTAAATCTAAAACAAAAGTCAAGTGCCTAACCCTTCTTAAAAAAAATAGCTTATGCATGGGGAAGATGTCTCTTATAAACCTATATTTTTTCATTTACATTAGCCATTAGAGGAAACTGAAAGTGTCATAGCAACAAGAAAGGCCAATGGAGAGGCAGCACATCTGAGCTGTTTCATGGTGGATGGAGAATATGTTTTGTGTGGAGGATCAAAGAATGTTCATATGGTCTTCAGAAAAAAGGGTAAGAAAGTATTTCATCATAAAGGTGACATCATCCATAAAGTTAAAAACTGTATTAATTATCCTTGTCAAGAAAGCTTTTGAGTTGCAAATTAAGATTTTGACAGGACATATTTTAAAATGAAGATATTTTGACACCAGAAGTAGATAGCTCTTACCATTTTGATATTAAAACTATCTCCGTCAGTTTCTAATGTTAATTTTTGTGCTAACTTTCATTTCAAAGTAAGTGCTCTTGGGAAAGCATTTTAATATATTTTGATGTAATATCATAGTTGTTTTGAATTTGATCAAACTTTGATGATTATTTATTGCTGTAAAAAGAAAGCAATAAAATAATGGTACATTTTTTTGTAAATATACATTACAAAACATTTGTGGCACACTTCAGTGAATAAAGACTGCCTGTTTGTGTTGTGACATCCATTCATTTTGTCACAAATGATGTACTGTAAATTCAGAAATTATTGCCTGCATTTATTAATGCGAATCCTTGACCACTGTCAAAAATGAGCAGTCTAATTAATGTGATTGCAAAAATTTTATGAAGAAAAATTACTACTGAAATAACGAAGGCAAGTTTTTATACGACCGCAAACATTAAAAATTTTTTGGTCGTATATTGGTATGACGTTGTCGTCGTCGTCGTCCGGCGTCGTCGTCGTCGTCGTCCGGCGTCGTCTGGCGTCGTCCGAAGACACACTGGTTTTCGCACTCTAACTTTAGTTTAAGTGAATGGATTTCTATGAAATTTTACCATAAGGTTCAATACCACAAAAGGAAGGTTGGGATTGATTTTGGGGGTTATGGTACCAACAGTTAAGGAATTAGGGGCCAAAAAGGGGCCAAAAATAAGCATTTTTGTAACTTCCAGACAATAACTTGTGTGTAAGTGTATGGATCTCTCTGACATTGTACCACAAGGTTCCATATCACAAAGGGAAGGCTGTAATTGATTTTGGGGGTAATTGCCTCAAAATTTAAGGAATTAGGGGCCAAAAAAGGGGCAAAAAACAAGCATTTTTCTAGTTTCATGACAATAACTTGTGTGTAAGTGTTTGGATATTTCTGAAATTGTACTACAAGGTTCCATATCACAAAGGGAAAGCTGGAATTGAGTTTGGGGGTAATTGCCTGAAACGTTTAGGAATTGGGGGGCCAAAAAGGGGCCAAAAATAAGCATTTTTTCTAGTTTCCAGACAATAACTTGTGTTCAAGTGTATGGATCTCTCTGAAATTGTACTGCAAGGTACCATACCACAAAGGGAAGGCTGGGATTGAGTTTGGGGGTGATGAATCATAAGGGGTTCAAAAAATTTGGGGGGGGGGGATTTTTTTTTTTTTTTTTTTTTTCTTTTTTTCCTTTTTTTTTTCTTTTAAAATTTTCCATTTTAAGGTGGTTATTTCTGATTTATATTTAAAAGCAAATAATAATGATATGGTAGGAGATACACACCAAACAGGATGTGTAAATTATTATATAATAAGTATTGTGCAATAGCAAGAAATTTTCAATTGCACAGTATTGCACAATAGCAAGAAATCTTCAATTGCACAGTATTGCGCAATAGCAAGAAATCTTCAATTGCACAGTATTGCGCAATAGCAAGAAATATCCAATAGCACAATATTGCGCAATAGCAAGAAATTGTCAATTGTACAGTATTGCGCAATAGCAAGAAATATTCAATTGCACAGTATTGTGCAAAAGAAGATACTTCGTATAAATTGCTTATTTCTTGATCAATTTCAATGGGGTTTTATTCTTGAATTCTTGGGGTTCTTTAATATGCTGAATCTAACCGTGTATTAAGTTTTTTGATTTTGGGCCCCGTTTTTAAATTGGTCCACATTGAGGTCCAAAGGGTCCAAAATTTAACTTTGTTTGATTTCATCAAAAATTGAATTATTGGGGTTCTTTGATATGCCGAATCTAACCGTGTATTTAGATTCTTAATTTTTGGTTCCGTTTTCAAATTGGTCTACATTAAGGTCCAAAGGGTCCAAAATTCAACTTAGTTTGATTTTAATAAAAATTGAATTTTTAGGGTTCTTTGATATGCTGAATCTAAACATGTATTTAGATTTTTGATTATGGGCCCAGTTTTCAAGTTGGTCCAAATCGGGGTCCAAAATTAAACTTTGTTTGATTTCAACAAAAATTGAATATATGGGGTTCTTTGATATGCTGAATCTAACCATGTATTTAGATTTTTGATTTTTGGGCCCCGTTATCAACTTTGTCCACATTGAGGTCCAAAGGGTCCAAAATTAAACTTAGTTTGATTTTAACAAAAATTGAATTCTTGGGGTTCTTTGATATGCTGAATCTAAACATGTGTTTAGATTTTTGATTATGGGCCCAGTTTTTAAGTTTGTCCAAGTTGGGGTCCAAAATTAAACTTTGTTTGTTTTCAACAAAAATTGAATATATGGGGTTCTTTGATATGCTGAATCTAACCATGAATTTAGATTTTTTATTTGTGGGCCCTGCTATCAAATTGGTTCATATTGAGGTCAAAAGGGTCCAAAATTAAACTTTGTTTGATTTCATCAAAAATTGAATTATTGGGGTTCTTTGATATTCCAAATCTAACCCTGTATTTAGATTTTTAATTTTAAGTCCCGTTTTTTAAATTGGTCTACATTAAGGTCCAAAGGGTCCAAAATTAAACTAAGTTTGATTTTAGCAAAAATTGAATTCTTGGGGTTATTTGATATGCTGAATCTAAACATGTGTTTAGATTTTTGATTATGGGCCCAGTTTTCAAGTTTGTCGAAGTTGGGGTCCAAAATTAAATTTTGTTTGATTTTAACAAAAATTGAATATATGGGGTTCTTTGATATGCTGAATCTAACCATGTATTTTGATTTTGGACATTGGACCATAATAGGTAAATTAAAAAAAATTCAAGTTCTTAGACCACATTCTTTCTGTGTCAGAATCCTATGCTGTGTCAAATATTTAATAACAATCCATATTCAGAGCTGTATCAAGCTTGAATGTTGTGTCCATACTTGCCCCAACTGTTCAGGGTTCGACCTCTGCGGTCGTATCAAGCTGCGCCCTGCGGAGCATTTTATTATTATTACATTGTAATATGAACCTGATACTGATGCATTTATCCCATTCATAAAAACATCGCAATAATTTCTGAATTTACAGTAACCGAAAAAGTTTTGAAGTTCAGGAAGGGCTCAAAATTGTTTTTAATATCTGCTTTTTACTCTTAAGATAGGACAGTATCTCTTTAGATATGAAATTTTGTCCTTTTTAAATATATAAATGGTGTTGTAGCAAACATTTTTGAGTAGTTTTGATAATGTGGAGAATAGTCTTACAGTCCTGTTCAATGTGAAAAGTCATGTGACTAGTGCACTAGTATCTTAGCTGCAACAATATTTTATTATACTCCCACTTTAAAAAAGGGGGGATACTGTTTTATTATACTCCCACTTTAATAAAGGGGGGATACTGTTTTATTATATCCCGCTTTAAAAAAGGGGGTATACTGTTTTACCTTTGTCTGTCCGTCCGTCCGTCCCATGAATATTTTTCGTCGCATTTTTCTCAGGAACTACATTATAAGGATTTCTGAAATTTGTTTTCAGGGTTTATATAAGTCAGCTATACCGTGTGATGCGTTTTCAGATTCATCACTCAACAACTTCCTGTTTACCATCAAGTATTTGGGCGGGGGTATCATCAGTGAGCTGTAGCTCGCAGTTTCACTTATTACATTTGCACTGACATTAAGATGATTTTATTTATTATTTGTAGAAGATATATTGAGGTATACAGAGCCTAGATTCAGAATTGCCAGTGAGGTCTGTTTGAGTGTTTGGAACTCACTTGATAAAATGTCACCTAATGACAGAAACAGGTGAGTTAATAACTGTAAATAGCATATTGTATTAAAATTTACTAGTAAACTACTTTATAATGAAAAAAATACATTTATCAGTAGATTGTGGACTATTTTGATTTTGTCTGTTTCATCTTTATACAGTTTTAATTATCTGTGAAAATACAATACAAGAAGTAAAATAACAAAAATACAGAAATTCCAAGGAAAATTCAAATCGGAAAGTCCCTTATCAAGATACCTAGGGGTTTTCAAAAATCATAATTAAGTAAGGTGAGACTTGATGAACATATTGTATTCAAACTAGTTATCCATTCAATTATGAAAACAATACAATTATTGTTAGATGGAGAATGTTTTTGGTTTTGTATATCTCTATAGCGTTTCAGTTATCTGTGAAAAAGTATTTAAGGAGATACCAAGGTTTTTTTTAAAATTCATAATTCACTAAGATGAAAATGAACACCAAATTTTAAAGAAAAAAGTTCATGAAATACTAATGTATAAATCTAAAGATTGAGCAACACAAACCCATGCAAAAACCGTGGATGAACTGAGGTGGTAGGCAGGAAGTTACTGGAAGGGTATGCAGTTTCTCCTACTGCTGGTACCTGACGTTTTGCTCATGACTATTAGATATCTGTCATAATCACTCAGTTTTGTTAAAATGTGAGAGTGGTTCCGAAATAAAACTATTTCCGTCAGATAAGTACTGAAATGGTGTTCCTATTATGTTACCTTTATGAAACTTTGATATTGAACTTCCATAAAGAAATGGATACCACAATTGACATGTTGTCCTCAATCAAAACATAATTCTAATAGTTTGTTTATGTAATTAAATGCATGCATAGTTTTCTTGACCTTGAGAGCATCAGACTAAATGGTTGCTCTGGATTCCCTACTTCATTGATTGATTTGTAACTCAAGAGATCCATTCTGTATTTCTATCTGCTATTAGGGTTATTGTTGTTGCATTATTTTAAATCATGCCCAACATTTAACTCAAAAAATGTAGTAATCAGCGTAATTGTAGTAGAAGTAGAACACCCCTCAGACCAAATGGAGTCTTCCATATTATCAACGCAAGAAAGAAACTACATGCCACTTGTTGCTCACTGTTTTTTAAAAAGTCAAATTCATTTAACATGTTTTAATATGTAAGTAATCATCAGATGTGTTTACTTGCTTTTATTCCTGTTTTGTTAAAAAATTTGAGTAGATCAATATATAAATTTACTCAGTTGTTTATTTGCAGTTTACATTTAGATAGCTTAAGATTAAAGTTATTAAGACCTCTGTCTTTTTGTCCCAAACAAGTAAATTGCAACTCTAGATACCATTTTCCGTAAAGCTTTCATACATGGTAGAATTTGGTATCTTGACCACAAACGTCATTTAAATTTCTGCAGTTTTGGAAGACGTCTAGGTCTTTAACATTTTTGGCCATAAAGCCAAAGAAAGAACAGATTGACCTTTTTATACGACCGCAAAAAAATTTTGTGGTCGTATATTGGTATGACGTTGGTGTCGTCGTCGTCGTCCGAATACACATTGGTTTTCGCACTCTAACTTTAGTTTAAGTGAATGGATCTTTTTGAAATTTGACCATAAGGTTAAATACCACAAAAGGAAGGTTGGGATTGATTTTGGGGGTTATGGTACCAACAGTTAAGGAATTAGGGGCCGGAAAGGGGCCAAAAATAAGCATTTTCTAGTTTCCAGACAATAACTGTGGAATGGTGTATGGATCTCTCTGAAATTAAACTACAAGTTTCCATACCACAAAGGGATGGTTAGGATTTGCTTTGGGGGGTTATGGCTCAAACCGTTTAGGAATTAGGGGCAAAAAAGGGGGAAAAACAAGGTTGTCCTGGTTAATGGACAAATACTTTAGTACAAAACAATTTAAAGCAGTGTAAGGGAGATAAATCAAATACATCATTGAAATTATCTCCCTTACACTGCTTTTAAATTATGTATAAAGTAATGGTTAATGAAAAATAAAGATAATTTAAAACAGTGTAAGGGAGGTAATCCAAATACAACGTTTTGGTTACTTCCCTTACACTGCTTTTAAATTATGTTTAAAGAAATGCATATTTATAAAGGTAGACCAGTAAAAATATCTGCAAATGTTGCATCTTTTTTTTTACAAAAAAATCCATATGAAAGATTTGACACTATATTTTTAATTCTATTATAAAATAGATTAAGTTAGCACTATGGTAAATTTAAATGGGTAATTATGGTTGCCAACTCCATTGGAAATTTGAATTGAAATTATGACCATATCTTGAGGGAAAGAATTTTTTTGGGGAAAAAAAGAGGGGGGGGGGGGGGTAAAAAGAAATTGTGGGGGGTCAATTTTTTCTCATTTCAGATTTCAGCAATTAAAAAGAATTATTCTTCAAATATTATTTTTTTTTCAAATTTCAAATATTGAAAAATTTCAAGAAGTAATCTTTAATTGCACAGTATGGGTCATTAGATTTGTAAAATCTTTGATCACATTTATTTATTTGTTATGCCGAATCTAACAGTGTATTTAGATTTTTAATTTTGGGTCCAGTTTTCAAATTGGTCTACATTAAGGTCCAAAGGGTCCAAAATTAAACTTTGTTTGATTTTAGCAAAAATTGAATATATGAGGTTCTTTGATATGCTGAATCTAAACATGTATTTAGATTTTTGATTTTTGGCCCAGTTTTCAAGTTGGTCCAAATTGGGGTCCAAAATTAAACTTTGTTTGATTTCAACAAAAATCGAATATATGGGGTTCTTTGATATGCTGAATCTAACCATGTATTTAGATTTTTTATTTGTGGACCCCACTATCAAATTGGTTCATATTGAGGTCAAAAGGGTCCAAAATTAAACTTTGTTTGATTTCATCTAAAATTGAATTATTGGGGTTCTTTGATATTCCAAATCTAACCGTGTATTTAGATTTTTAATTTTGGGTCCTGTTTTTTAAATTGGTCTACATTAAGGTCCAAAGGGTCCAAAATTAAACTTAGTTTGATTTTAACAAAAATTGAATTCTTGGGGTTCTTTGATATGCTGATTCTAAACATGTGTTTAGATTTTTGATTATGGGCCCAGTTTTCAAGTTGGTCCAAGATAGGGTCCAGTATTTAAACTTTGTTTGATTTCAACAAAAATTGAATATATGGGGTTCTTTGATATGCTGAATCTAAACATGTATTTAGATTTTTGATTATGGGCCCAGTTTTCAAGTTGGTCCAAATTGGGGTCCAAAATTAAACTTTGTTTGATTTCAACAAAAATTGAATATATGGGGTTCTTTGATATGCTGAATCTAACCATGTATTTAGATTTTTTATTTGTGGACCCCACTATCAAATTGGTTCATATTGAGGTCAAAAGGGTCCAAAATTAAACTTTGTTTGATTTCATCTAAAATTGAATTATTGGGGTTCTTTGATATTCCAAATCTAACCGTGTATTTAGATTTTTAATTTTGGGTCCTGTTTTTTAAATTGGTCTACATTAAGGTCCAAAGGGTCCAAAATTAAACTTAGTTTGATTTTAACAAAAATTGAATTCTTGGGGTTCTTTGATATGCTGATTCTAAACATGTATTTAGATTTATTATTTGTGGGCCCCGCTATCAAATTGGTTCATATTGAGGTCAAAAGGGTCCAAAATTAAAATTTGTTTGATTTCATCAAAAATTGAATTATTGGGGTTCTTTGATATGCCAAATCTAACCGTGTATTTAGATTTTTAATCTTAAGTCCCGTTTTTTAAATTGGTCTACATTAAGGTCCAAAGGGTCCAAAATTAAACTTAGTTTGATTTTAGCAAAAATTGAATATATGAGGTTCTTTGATATGCTGAATCAAAACATGTATTTAGATTTTTGATTTTTGGCCCAGTTTCCAAGTTGGTCCAAATTGGGGTCCAAAATTAAACTTTGTTTGATTTCAACAAAAATTGAATATATGGGGTTCTTTGATATGCTGAATCTAACCATGTATTTAGATTTTTTATTTGTGGGCCCCACTATCAAATTGGTTCATATTGAAGTCAAAAGGGTCCAAAATTAAACTTTGTTTGATTTCATCAAAAATTGAATTATTGGGGTTCTTTGATATTCCAAATCTAACCGTGTATTTAGATTTCTAATTTTAAGTCCCTTTTTTTAAATTGGTCTACATTAAGGTCCAAAGGGTCCAAAATTAAACTTATTTTGATTTTAGCAAAAATTGAATTCTTGGGGTTCTTTGATATGCTGAATCTAAACATCTGTTTAGATATTTGATTATGGGCCCAGTTTTCAAGTTTGTCCAAGTTGGGGTCCAAAATTAAACTTTGTTTGATTTTAACAAAAATTGAATATATGGGGTTCTTTGATATGCTGAATCTAACCATGTATTTTGATTTTGGACATTGGACCATAATAGGTAAATTAAAAAAATTCAAGTTCTTAGACCACATTCTTTCTGTGTCAGAAACCTATGCTGTGTCAAATATTTAATAACAATCCAAATTCAGAGCTGTATCAAGCTTGAATGTTGTGTCCATACTTTCCCCAACTGTTCAGGGTTCGACCTCTGCGGTCGTATCAAGCTGCGCCCCAGCGAAGCATTTTATTTATGCTTGTACAAATGTATATTTAAAGACACTGAGTATGTGGGATTGATAACATTCAGAAGGAATATTTTTAAAATGAGTTGGTTTGAATTTCCAAGAATGAAGCAAATGTAGAGCAAAAATTAAAACACAATACATTGTTCATGTATAAATATACACTTATATCAGAGATTGAATATTTTTTTAAGTTAAAAACTATATTCAGAATGAATCAAATTGGGAATACATGTGCAGTTGAACTTTTTTTTGAGAAAGAATACTAATATCAATGGAAACAATGGCGATCTTATCCCTCAGGGAAATCATGCTCTTTGATTTGGCTGTGTTAATGTGTGCTATTTCCTAGATCTCACGAATTAAATATTTGTATGCATAATGAGATCAAACTATAGTCTTTTGCAGTTTCTGGTTGCCACTGGTTACACAGGTGTGTTTGAGATTTTATCACCTGACCATCAACATGTAGAAGAACTTTCTTACCTGTCAGAGTAGGTATTCGCTGTCAAAATCATTGTTATCAATTATAAAAAATTTAAACATGGGGAAAAGTTTTATATTGTAATTGTAGTTTTCTGGTATTGAACTTTGAAAAGAAATGGTAATCACCCATATCATTGGTTTTTCCCTCCATATAACAAAAGAAGCTATTGGTTTGTACAGCTTTTATTTTATTTAAAGTTGGAGAATACAGTTTTTTCGAAAGTATTAACAGAATAGTAATGGAGAATTTACTTCATAAAACTTGGATAAATCTGTGTTTTTTTTTTTGCTTAAGTTCATAAATATTTGTCATATAAGATAGATATATAAAGTGGGGACTTAAAAAATCTCGAAACAATAAATTTTGATTACTCTATTATTCCTTCAGATCAGAAATGAGATTTATAACTTGGACACAGATTGACCTTGAACCTTCACCTGACAACAGTTCCTTAGCAACTGTACCTCCTCATCTTGGCATAGAGGTTTGTATTTGATAACCAATAACAGCAGTTCCTTAGCAAATGTTCACGCCCCCTTATATGAAGATTAAAGCTAAGAAATTGAAGTTGTTTTCTTCCATCATGCCTTTTGTCTGAATGTTGTTTGGTTTAAACAGTTATTTGCATTCTATCCCTATGTTTTATTTTTAGCCATTGTGGTCATGTTTCATGATTGAACAAAAAATATTTCACATACTTGAATCTAGAAGCCCAAAGGATCAATGATGTAAAGTTGGGTTAAAATTAGTTTAAGTTAAGTCATTTCAGAGGAGAAGGTCTTTAAGCCAGATAAGCTCAAAATGAATAGTTTCATACCTTTTTTTTATTGGCTATCTTATAAACTGTGTGATATATAAAAAAAAAGAAAAACAAGAGAATAGATATGACTTATTCTTATTTTTTATCAATTATTATTTGCCATTTGTTTTTTGTTTTTCTTCATCAATCGCAAAAAAAATTTACCATCATTGGAACCCTGTTAAGTTTGAATATTTCATCCTATTACATTTTACACAACATCATTTACAGAAGTCTAAAACTGCTGACAATTAAACATGAGATTCAGTATTTATTATTTTAGTTTAACTGTATCTTCTTCTACATCATTTTCAGATCGCTAAAGCTTTAGGACTTCTTACTATTAAATATGATGTACTGCCAATGTCAGAACTGGATACAAGAATGAAGCAGGTAACAAATGGAAGGTTTTGATATATCTAGAAATGGTATAAAACTCTTCAAACACCCTTTAACAAGATATAAGTCATAACAGTCTATTACCTGATATGTTTAGTTGAAGTATTAAATTGTTTGTCCTTGAAAACCAACATAGGCTAAATTTCATAGTCATCAAATAACAATTTCTTCTACAGTATGAAAGAATTCTTACACTTTCTTCAAGAAGCACAAATATTATGAGATTTATTGAAAACATCACCATAACAGACAATAATCTGCTACATTCAAATTGTTTGATTTTTTGGATGGTGGAAGGTGTAAATAAGATATATTGATGATCACCCAATATTTTTATATGACCGCAAAAAAATTTTGTGGTTGTATATTGGTATGACATTGGCGTCGTCGTCGTCCGGCGTCGTCGTCCGAAGACACATTGGTTTTGGCACTCTTACTTTAGTTTAAGTGAATGGATCTTTTTGAAATTTGACCATAAGGTTAAATACCACAAAAGGAAGGTGGGGATTGATTTTCTAGTTTCCAGACAATAACTGTGGAACGGTGTATGGATCTCTCTAAAATTATACTACAAGTTTCCATACCACAAAGGGATGGTTAGGATTTGCTTTGGGGGGTTATGGCTCAAACCGTTTAGGAATTAGTGGCAAAAAAGGGGGAAAAACAAGGTTGTCCTGGTTAATGGACAAATACTTTAGTACAAAACATAATTTAAAGCAGTGTAAGGGAGATAAATCAAATACATCATTGAAATTATCTCCCTTACACTGCTTTTAAATTATGTATAAAGTAATGGTTAATGAACAATAAAGATAATTTAAAACAGTGTAAGGGAGGTAATCCAAATACAATGTTTTGGTTACTTCCTTTACACTGCTTTTAAATTATGTTTAAAGAAATGCATATTTATAAAGGAAGACCAGTAAAAATATCTGCAAATGTTGCATCTTTTTTTTTTACAAAAAAATCCATATGAAAGATTTGACACTATATTTTTAATTCTATTATAAAATAGATTAAGTTAGCACTATGGTAAATTTAAATGGGTAATTATGGTTGCCAACTCCATTGGAAATTTGAATTGAGATTATGACCATATCTTGAGGGAAAGAATTTTTTTGGGGAAAAAAAGGGGGGGGGGATTAAAAGAAATTGTGGGGGGTCAATTTTTTCTCATTTCAGATTTCAGAATTAAAAAGAATTATTTTTCAAATATTATTTTTTTTTCAAATTTCAAATATTGAAAAATTTCAAGAAGTAATCTTTAATTGCACAGTATGGCGCATTAGATTTGTAAAATCTTTGATCACATTTATTTATTTGTTATGCCCAATCTAACAGTGTATTTAGATTTTTAATTTTGGGTCCAGTTTTCAAATTGGTCTACATTAAGGTCCAAAGGGTCCAAAATTAAACTTTGTTTGATTTTAGCAAAAATTGAATATATGAGGTTCTTTGATATGCTGAATCTAAACATGTATTTAGATTTTTGATTTTTGGCCCAGTTTTCAAGTTGGTCCAAATTGGGGTCCAAAATTAAACTTTGTTTGATTTCAACAAAAATTGAATATATGGGGTTCTTTGATATGCTGAATCTAACCATGTATTTAGATTTTTTATTTGTGGACCCCATTATCAAATTGGTTCATATTGAGGTCAAAAGGGTCCAAAATTAAACTTTGTTTGATTTCATCTAAAATTGAATTTATTGGGGTTCTTTGATATTCCAAATCTAACCGTGTATTTAGATTTTTAATTTTGGGTCCTGTTTTTTAAATTGGTCTACATTAAGGTCCAAAGGGTCCAAAATTAAACTTAGTTTGATTTTAACAAAAATTGAATTCTTGGGGTTCTTTGATATGCTGAATCTAAACATGTGTTTAGATTTTTGATTATGGGCCCAGTTTTCAAGTTGGTCCAAGATAGGGTCCAGTATTTAAACTTTGTTTGATTTCAACAAAAATTGAATATATGGGGTTCTTTGATATGCTGAATCTAAACATGTATTTAGATTTTTGATTATGGGCCCAGTTTTCAAGTTGGTCCAAATTGGGGTCCAAAATTAAACTTTGTTTGATTTCAACAAAAATTGAATATATGGGGTTCTTTGATATGCTGAATCTAACCATGTATTTAGATTTTTTATTTGTGGGCCCCGCTATCAAATTGGTTCATATTGAGGTCAACAGGGTCCAAAATTAAACTTTGTTTGATTTCATCAAAAATTGAATTATTGGGGTTCTTTGATATGCCAAATCTAACCGTGTTTTTAGATTTTTAATTGGGTCCTGTTTTTTAAATTGGTCTTTTTTGAGGTCCAAAGGGTCCAAAATTAAACTTAGTTTGATTTTAACAAAAATTGAATTCTTGGGGTTCTTTGATATGCTGAATCTAAACATGTGTTTAGATTTTTGATTATGGGCCCAGTTTTCAAGTTGGTCCAAGTTGGGGTCCAAAATTAAACTTTTTTTGATTTCAACAAAAATTGAATATATGGGGTTCTTTGATATGCTGAATCTAACCATGAATTTAGATTTTTTATTTGTGGGCCCCGCTATCAAATTGGTTCATATTGAGGTCAAAAGGGTCCAAAATTAAACTTTGTTTGATTTCATCAAAAATTGAATTATTGGGATTCTTTGATATTCCAAATCTAACCGTGTATTTAGATTTTTAATTTGAAGTCCCTTTTTTTAAATTGGTCTACATTAAGGTCCAAAGGGTCCAAAATTAAACTTAGTTTGATTTTAGCAAAAATTGAATTCTTGGGGTTCTTTGATATGCTGAATCTAAACATGTATTTTGATTTTGGACATTGGACCATAATAGGTAAATTAAAAAAATTCAAGTTCTTAGACCACATTCTTTCTGTGTCAGAAACCTATGCTGTGTCAAATATTTAATAACAATCCAAATTCAGAGCTGTATCAAGCTTGAATGTTGTGTCCATACTTGCCTCAACTGTTCAGGGTTCGACCTCTGCGGTCGTATCAAGCTGCGCCCCAGCGAAGCATTTTATTAACTTATATATAATTTGTTACTTTCTACAGATAAGACAAGGATACCAGTACGAGGGTGAAGTGTTATATTTTATGGATAAAACAGGAATAGTTACTGGATTACTGAAAAAGAAAACAGTTTGGTAATATTTTATTTGTAATTTTATTTAACCAATCTTTATAACAAAACATGCAGACTTTTCTGAAAGTGAACCAGCAACATAAAAAACAACACAAAACCAACTTTGATTTTTAAAATGGCAAAAATATACAGGGATGTAGTAAGAGGCACATCAGTAGAAGTGTGAATTCCATTACTCAGTCTTATGTTCACTTTGTTTTGATTGATCAGTGGTAAACTTTGATTGTCACTTTCAATTGCATAAAAAAAATATTGTATTTTTTGGAGGATTGTGACCTTTCTTTTATGTAATCATCGTAACAATGTTGTCTTGTTTTATATGTCTTATAAGGAAAGTAAATTGGGTAAATAGATATACCTTTGTCCATTGGAGGTAGCCTTCATTGTTAATACAGGGCAAGTCATTATCTTAGTCCCTTAATATCAACTGATTATACATGTTCAAACTGTTTTAATGACGTCAAAATAGTTCTGCATGTGTTGATGAATTATTCATCATTTTATAGAAATAATGAGGAATTAAGGTTATTTTTACATAGATAATTGATGTGTTAACTCATCTTTTCACCTTAGAATTAACATAAAATCCTTTGACTTACTTTAGTTTATGAGTTGTTTGTTTACACATCAATTTAATCTGTTAACTAACCATTATTACTATAACGACTCAACATTCATTATACCATCACAACTTGGAACGTGTCAAACAACTCTGTTGCAAAAGGAATCAACATACAACATACTAAATTTATGATGAAAGATAAAGATGCTCTAACCTGAAATCAATGACATTAATTTTCATTCTGTTATGTAAAAAAATAATTGGTTTTTTTTCTTTTAGGTATATCATGTGTCGTGCAATTAGAGAGAAGTTACGTGCAGCATGTGCATATAATTTGAAAACGCCAGAAAAATTCTCATTATCTAAATATCTAAGAAAGGTTAGTAGAGTGATATTGATTACAGGATTTGATATACAATTCAAGTTCAAGTACTAAATATCAGTAGACATTCATTGTTTTTCTAATGATGTTCAGGGATCTCTATGGATGAAAATTTAATGATGGAGGAACTTTCACCATGACAAAACCCTGCGTCTAAGGCATGTCTTGATGGAAAGTATTTCATTCCTCCATTTCATTGTAAGGAATGGTGAACAGACTGATATATTGCTTATTATATTTATTTCATTATAGAATAACCAATATTTTCATTAATTGCCATTTGTAACAATTCCAATGTCAAGCCTGCATGGCTCCCCCTTAGTCAAGAATGACCACAAGCTGTCGTTAAGGTTCTCAAGTCAATTTCTTGCTATTTTGGTAATTGTTTAGGGCTTAAAAATCGGGGGATCTTTTTTTCACTGTCAAATTCAGAAGTCATGAACCGGTATCGACGATTTGCAGCATCAACAACAAGAAGTTTCGTACCTGTTTTGTAAAACGTTGAAGAAAGATTTGGAAGGCAAACGTTTACAACTTAAATGGTTTAAATGACTTTAAATTGCAAATTTCATAGTAATAGACTATGCAACATGCATCTTTTGATTCTGAATGTAAATACGATGTATTGATTTGATTGTAAACTACGAAATGAATTTGGAATTACGATACAAAATTTCTTCAGATTATCAAATTGCAGTTAATATTCATGTATTTACTTTTAAACTTGTAAAGGGATTCAATATTATCGATAATTGTTGTAATCATGTTAATTGGTATGAAATTATGTTCTGTTTAACGTCTTATTTTGTACTCATTTAAAAAGGGGGATGCTGATTGCATAAGTCAATATAAAGCATGTGTTCGACTTGTTAAACTTTTTTCTTCGTAACTGACTTTAAAATTCATTTTTTAATCTAAATTTTCTTTAGCATTTGCTGAAACCTAATTTAATAATGTAATTATTCATCTATCTTGATCAAGTGTTCTCCTGTCTGGTGTGTTAATCTACCTGTACAGGTGATTAGCTATCTTTAGCCAGATATCCGTCAGGGCTTTAAAACTGTAATCAAGGGATACCTTTGGGTTATAATACAATAAAGGTTATGCAATTACATGCAATTGATTATAATTGCTAACAAAAATGGCTGTCGCTAGCGAAATGAAAACACATTTTAACATTGGTGGGGATCATTTGACAATGGCAGAAGATTATTTAACAATGGCTGGGATCATTTTACGATGGTGGAAGATAATTTAATAATAGCGGTTCACCATCATAAAACAGATCATGGAGATCCCTAATGTTTATTTAACAGAAAGTGAGCTTGGAAACAGATAAAGTTTCACCAAAATTACACAAATTTGAATTTAGAATTTTCTTATTTTCAAATGGAAAGAGCTTCACAAATGAACTGCTTTTTACTTGGTGTTTTATGCAGAGCAAGAAGAGAAAAAAAATGCCACAGGAACAAACATTTTTGATTTTGTGTATGAACATGAATATGAATAAAAAGAGATGTTGAGTAAATTTGAATGAGACACAACCATTAAAAATAATAGAACAGTTGACATTTTTATACGACCGCAAAAAAATTTTTGTGGTCGTATATTGGTATGACGTTGGCGTCGTCGTCGTCGTCGTCGTCGTCGTCTGGCGTCGTCCGGCGTCGTCCGAAGACACATTGGTTTTCGCACTCTAACTTTAGTTTAAGTGAATGGATCTCTATGAAATTTTACCACAAGGTTCAATACCACAAAAGGAAGGTTGGGATTGATTTTGGGGGTTATGGTACCAACAGTAAAGGAATTAGGGGCCAAAAAGGGGCCAAAAATAAGCATTTTTGTAACTTCCAGACATAACTTGTGTGTAAGTTGGATCTCTCTGACATTGTACCACAAGGTTCCATATCACAAAAGGAATGCGGGGATTGATTTTGGGGGTAATTGCCTCAAAATTTTAGGAATTAGGGGCCAAAAAAAGGGGCAAAAAACAAGCATTTTTCTAGTTTCATAACAATAACTTGTGTGTAAGTGTATGGATCTTTCTGAAATTGTACTACAAGGTTCCATATCACAAAGGGAAAGCTGGAATTGAGTTTGGGGGTAATTGCCGAAACGTTTAGGAATTGGGGGCCAAAAAGGGGCCAAAAATAAGCATTTTTCTAGTTTCCAGACAATAACTTGTGTTCAAGTGTATGGATCTCTCTGAAATTGTACTGCAAGGTACCATACCACAAAGGGAAGGCTGGGATTGATGATGGGGGTAATTGCCTCAACATTTTAGGAATTAGGGGCCAAAAAGGGGCAAAAAACAAGCATTTTTCTAGTTTCAGGACAATAACTTGTGTGTAAGTGTATGGATCTTTCTGAAATTGTACTACAAGGTTCCATATCACAAAGGGAAAGCTGGGTTTGAGTTTGGGGGTAATTGCCTTAAACGTTTAGGAATTTGGGGCCAAAAAGGGGCCAAAAAACACATTTTTCTAGTTTCCAGACAATAACTTGTGTTCAAGTGTATGGATCTCTCTGAAATTGTACTGCAAGGTACCATTCCACAAAGGGAAGGCTGGGATTGAGTTTGGGGGTGATGAATCATAATAGGGTTCAAAAAATTTGGGGGGGGGGGGATTTTTTTTTTTTCCTTTTTTTTTTCTTTTAAAATTTTCCATTTTAAGTTGGTTATTTCTGATTTATATTTAAAAGCAAATAATAATGATATGGTAGGAAATACACACCAAACAGGATGTGTAAATTATTATATAATAAGTATTGTGCAATAGCAAGAAATTTTCAATTGCGCAGTATTGCACAATAGCAAGAAATCTTCAATTGCACAGTATTGCGCAATAGCAAGAAATCTTCAATTGCACAGTATTGCGCAATAGCAAGAAATATCCAATAGCACAATATTGCGCAATAGCAAGAAATTGTCAATTGTACAGTATTGCGCAATAGCAAGAAATATTTAATTGCACAGTATTGTGCAAAAGAAGATACTTCGTATAAATTGCTTATTTCTTGACCAATTTCAATGGGGTTTTATTCTTGAATTCTTGGGTTTCTTTAATATGCTGAATCTAACCGTGTATTTAGTTTTTTGATTTTGGGCCCCGTTTTTAAATTGGTCCACATTGAGGTCCAAAGGGTCCAAAATTTAACTTTGTTTGATTTCATCAAAAATTGAATTATTGGGGTTCTTTGATATGCCGAATCTAACCATGTATTTAGATTCTTAATTTTTGGTTCCGTTTTCAAATTGGTCTACATTAAGGTCCAAAGGGTCCAAAATTAAACTTAGTTTGATTTTAACAAAAATTGAATTCTTAGGGTTCTTTGATATGCTGAATCTAAACATGTATTTAGATTTTTGATTATGGGCCCAGTTTTCAAGTTGGTCCAAATCGGGGTCCAAAATTAAACTTTGTTTGATTTCAACAAAAATTGAATATATGGGGTTCTTTGATATGCTGAATCTAACCATGTATTTAGATTTTTGATTTTTGGGCCGCGTTATCAACTTTGTCCACATTGAGGTCAAAAGGGTCCAAAATTAAACTTTGTTTGATTTCATCAAAAATTGAATTCTTGGGGTTCTTTGATATGCTGAATCTAACCATGTATTTAGATTTTGGATATTGGACCATAATAGGTGAATGTCCAATTTAAAATTTTTAAGTTCTTAGACCACATTCATTCTGTGTCAGAAACCTATGCTGTGTCAAATATTTAATCACAATCCAAATGCAAAGCTGTATCAAGCTTGAATGTTGTGTCCATACTTGCCCCAACTGTTCAGGGTTCGACCTCTGCGGTCGTATCAAGCTGCGCCCTGCGGAGCATTTTATTATGTCTAAATTGAATCACAAAACTTAATTTTAAGAAATAAGATATGTCTAATGTTAACAGCAGTATGTAGTTCTACATAAGATAACTTTCCAGTTGCTGGTCATTGTCCATGGCTTTGATGTTATAAATTTTAGATAGTGGAACGGTAGCTGGTTATTGAAGGTAATTAGTTATTGACCAGAGCATTGTCATGATTAATTTTAGATATTGGAAATGGTTGAGCTTTAATAATTCTGTCATAGAAAGTTGGATGAAATACCAGTTAATATCATGTGATTTGGACATTAACCTATCATTTAAGACCTCGTGATGTCTTTTGGGTTTTGTTTTGATGTTGGTTTGCTATCCCATATTTCCTCACATCTCTCATATATTTGATAACTTTTTAGCATGACTTACGATGATTAATTTGCAATAAATATATTTTTTTTCAAAGACAGATAAAAGATTAGATGAGATCCAAATATGGCTAGGTTTGGATATGAGTACAATAAATGAATGGAAGGTATGTATAACTTATCAAGTAAAAATATTCTGGTTTGTATGAAGTTGAATAAGACTTATTAGCTACAATTTTGTTTTACTGGATTGAGGTTAAGAGCAAGGATTCAGAATTTTTTTTACACAATTTCGGTCATTTTGAGATGACTTAAATGTTAGGCCCCTTTTTTCAAACTGTTGCAATTATTCAAACTAGATTCATAGTATCAACGAACTTGTGTTGACTGTTTCATGGCATTTACTTCATGAATTTTCTTACATTTATTTCTAAAAACATTCAAGAACAGTTAATGGAATGCAACAGTTTAAAATTGAAAGTATTTGAATGACTCAAAATGGTAAATTTCTCGGTCATTGCTAACGTTTCTTTCGATTTTGAAGACAAAATTAAAACCAGAAGTTTCATGACAATACTAAAGTACGAGTAATTCAGGATTCATTTACAAGATTCGTTCTGTTTATCAAATTGACAGGAAATCACAGGATTTTTTTCGAGCCTGCGACTTCTGTCGCAGAAAGCCTGACATGGGAATAGTGATCCCTCGGCGGCGGCAGCGTTAACTAACTACTTTAAAGCTTTATATTTTAGAAGGTGGAAGACCTGGTTGCTTCATACTTTGTATATATATGCCTTATGTTATGAAATTTCCGTCTGTCATATGTCCATTGTCCTTGACCTCATTTTCATGGTTCAGTGACTACTTGAAATAAAAAGTTAAGATTTTTTGTAATGTTAATTTCTCTCTTATTATGAGTAATAGGATAACTATATTTAGTATGTGCGTAACTTGCAAGGTCCTCATGCCTGTCAGACAGTTTTCATCTGACCTCAACCTCATTTCATGGATCAGTGAACAAGATTAAGTTTTCATGGTCAAGTCCATAGATCAGATACTTTAAGCAATAGGTCTACTATATGTGTTGTATGGAATGATTGTAAGGTGTACATGTCCAACTGGCAGATGTCATCTGACCTCATTTTCATGGTTCAGTTGTTAAAGTTAAGTTTTTATGTTTTGGTCTTTTTATTTTCTAATACTATATGCAATAGGTCAACTATATTTGGTGTATGGAAATATTTTACGATGTACATGTCAGTCTGGCAGGTTTTATTAATTTTGACCTTGACCTTATTTTCACGGTTCATTGCTCAGTGTTAAGTTTTTGTGTTTTGGTCTGTTTTTCTTAAACTATAAGCAATAGGTCAACTATAGTTGGTGCATGGAATGATTATAAGGTGTATATATCTGTCTGGCAGGTATCATCTGACCTTGACCTCATTTCATGGTTCATTTGTCAATGTTAAATTTTCATGGTTAAGTTTGTTTTTTAGATACTATAAGCAATTGGTCAACTATATTTAATGTATAGATTGATTGTAAGGTGTACATGTCTGTCTGGCATGGTTCATCTGACTTTGGCCTCATTTTCTTGGATCCGATCATGTTAAGTTTATGTGATACTTGTAGTAAAGCTTTATATTTAGGACTATCAACATAAAATCAGTGATCAGTAAAGCAGGCAAGACATTTCAGTGTGTGCACTCTTGTTAATTCTATTACCTTTTAATGTGTTTGAATATAACAGATAATAGATGCATTCATTTAATTTAGCATGAAATCAATGTGCATTTTAGCATTAAGTGTCTAATCTGGTGAAGACAATTTCACGCATGCGTATTACGTAGTAAATAAAGCACACATTTGACTCATGAAAAATTACTTTTTCTACATAAATTAAATCAAGTTTTGATTTTAAAATCAGAATTGCTGATTATCTTTGCTGAAAAGTAATTAAGTAATGAAGAAAGTTGTCATAGAATTTTAATTTCTTTATAATATTAGTTCTGGGCTAGTGATCACTGTTAATTAAATCACAACTAAAAAGTGATTAGCTATCATTATCCAATATTTCCCCTGAGGCATTAATATGGTTATTGGGAGGGCCATCAGGATTATCATACTATACCAGAGTGGCAGTTTTATTACAGGAAAGGCATTACAAAACAAAAATAAGTGCAAATGGCATTAAAGAAACCTGATCCAATGAAATGACCAAAATTATTTCTGTAAAAAAAATTAATTTGTCCTAAATCCCAATCAGTCAGTTTCCAGACCCTTGCTTAAGAGTACAAAAAACCCTGTCTCTATCTGCCTGTCTCTCAAATTCATAATCTTTTGAAAATGCAGAGCTAATCCTTAAATGGCAAATGTCAAATTGACCAAAATTAAAAAGAACCTTTATTTCAGTCATTGGCATATTTTATTTCATGCCACCGTCGCCGAGGGGGCATGAAGTTTTACCCTTGTCCGTCTGTATGTCAGAATTTTGGTTTCCGTTCTCTAACTTTAGTTTGCTTCAACCAAATCTTATGAAACTTATACACAATGCTTATTACCACAAAACACAGATCTAGTTTGAATTTGGGTGGTGTCACTTTTACCTTTCTAGAGTTATGCCTCTTTACAAATGGAAAAATTGGTGAATTTTTCGTTTTCATTCTCTAACTTAAGTTTGCCTCAACCAAATGTTACGAATTTTATACACAATGCTTATTACCACAAAACACAGATAAAGTTCGAATTTTGGTGGCGTCACTTTTACGGTTCTAGAGTTATTCTCCTTTATAAATGGAAAAATTGCTGAATTTTTTGTTTCTGTTCTCTAACTTAAGTTTGCCTCAACTAAATGTTATGAAACTACTACACAATGCTTATTACCACAAAACTCAGATCAAGTACGAATTTGGGTAGCGTCACTTTTACCGTTCTTGAGTTATGTCATGGACACATTCCCCATTTATTTTTCAAATTGTTCTTGGGGTATTATTATTTTCACTATGGAAACCAAGAGTATGACAGACAGTTTAGAAACAAGGATCCAAATTAATTGAAACTTCATATATCCCGATAAAGTTATAAATCTCTTTGAAAAATTATAAATATTTTATGTAGAATGGACAATGAATATGCTATTACTCAAGATTATGTTAGGAACATGATGTCAGAATGAAACTTAAAGGGATATTTCAGGCAATACAGCTGGCTGAGATACTCACTTTTGAAAAGGGACACACACATTTATTCAACAAAGCAAAAAGGTCAAAGGGGGTTATGCCAATAGTAAAAGTAAGATTTGTGCCTATACATACATTCTTGTCCTTTGTTAATTTTTTGGCTGATATTGCCCACTCTTTATTTCCTGTCAGTGAAACTGTGCAAAAAGAAATAATGTAATTTTATATAGCAGAAATATGTAAATGTCAGAAGGAATGATAAATAACTATATGAAAGGTTATAGACATTTGACAAATATATTTTATTTTACTTTTGTAGACGTTTGCCAATAAGTTTATAAGACATGTGATTCAGAAAGTAGATTTAGAAGAAGTTACTTCAGATGAAATTGCTAATATTTATCCTGTGATATGGTAAGTGTTACCTTTTTCTTAACTTACTTTTTCTGACCCATTTTACTTTAGTGTAAAGAATACTGTTTTATTGTAGTTAAGTGCTTTTTATTGCTTGAAATTTCATTAAAAAGATCAATGTGATAAAAACTCAGTAGACAATGTAATAAGGAAGAATTGAAATATAATACTATTTTAACAATTATAAATTTAGCACATACTTACAACTTCTCGTCCAATCAAATTGCTTATATTTGCCTTCTAATTTTCATAGTACATACTTTTCCTGTGTACTAAGTAACTACGCATGAATGACCACAAGGGTAAGATTTCATTGTATCGTAATCAAGATATTTAAAACAAAAATTGCCACTGGCTATTTTGAAATAAAATGCTGTGTTCCAAATTAAATTAAATAGTTTGTAATTAGTTTTCACGTTGATTTTTAAATATCCTGCTATTAAAATCTTTGGATCTAAAAAATGTTTTTGACAACTGCAAATTTTATCATTTAAATAAAGGGTAATACATATGGTTCTTTATACCTTGATTAGAGTACAACGATATCTTAAAATTATGATGATGTATCATCCATGCAATTACATTGTACACAGAAAAGTGTGTACTATGAAACCTTGTGAAGGAAAAATTAATGCAACTTGGTGATAATTTTTTAAACTTTCTTACGGAAGGTGATTTATTTCGTCATGCATTGATTGATTTATTGATTATTGGTTGCTTAATGTCCAGTGGCAAATATTTCATGCATGTTCAGGACAATGTCATGAATTGAAAAACTGTGATTATGTCTGAAGATAATGTGCCACCTATATATATATATATATATATATATATAAACATATTCTGATAAATCTTTTAGTTTTTACTTTGAAATAATAAAAAAAAAAAAACACAAAACACAAAACCTATTATCTCTGATCTATTGGTAGTTGCTTTTTAATGCCTATCTGCTAGACTATGTCTATGGGGACAAACTATCTATATGTTTCAAATTTATTATAGCTTTAGTTTTACTGTGAAATTAAAAAATGTTTTCAAAACATGTAAAGCTTCCACTGCAATTTAACTATTGCCTGCTTTTGGTCAATTTATTTTGTCATCTTACAATGTAAGAAGAACATGTATAGCAAAACACCGCTTTATATCAGTATACATGTACTTACACCAGCAGCTATAATCTTTTCATTCTGGATTGAAGGGCCTTTGGAAATCACATATTTACAATGATACTAGTGAGTAGATTTACAAAACTTCGTTAATGAGCTCCGTTTTACAAACACCTGTGATACAAGTAGTCAGCCAAAATAAACTATCAATAGACCCAATTAAAAGATTACTCGAGTTGTAAATATTTGCTAAATTGGATAGTCTATGAAAAGGTATATACTATGAAATTAAGAGCTCGGGGCAAGCCCCTCGCTCTAAATTTCATAGTATATACCTTTCCATAGACTAACCTAGACATAGTTTGTAAATAGTTCTAACAAGGAAATTAAATGTCTGATTTGTTTTTAAGGGAGAACCATGTATTGAAACATAGAAAATATTTTATGTGTTATGAATAAAAGGAGATGTGGAGTATACAGCAACCCATTGACAAAAATAATTAGCTTAGGAATGAAAAATTAAAACAAAAATTGTGTATTTGAAAAATAGCATCAGATGTAAATATCAAATGATTCTGGCATTCTGATGTGTCCATAGTTTTATGAATTTAAGTTGGGTGATCATATGAAACTCATGCTTATTTATATACTGCATTAACCAAGACTTCTTTCCATCAACTTTTAAGTACTGTATGCTCAACATGTAAAATAAGAAAATGTGGTAGATTGCCAAGGAGACAACTCTCCACCTGAGACCAAATGACATAGAAGTTAGCAACTATAGGTCATTGCATGGCCTTTAACAATGAGCAAAACCCATACTGCAGAGCAAGCTGTAAAGAGCTCTGACATAACAAATAGTAAAACATTTCAAATAAAAAAACCAATGGCCTGATTTATGAACAAAACAACATGTCTGCATGTGTAATGCACTGGTTTCTAGAGTTGTTCTTGAAATATTTTATCATAAGAATTTAGTGTATATTTTAGAAGTTTTATTGGCATGTTGATCCTAGACTCATTATTCATTATGTACAATGTATTTACATGCAATTAACCTGTAGAAAAATGTATTCAATTCTAAAGTAAAACAAAACAATGATTTAAAGCAATCAGATTGTATATTTTTTTCCTCTTTTTTTCAGGAAAAGATATGTAGCTGCCTCAGGAGAAAGTGACGATATAAAAGTTGTTGTGACATCAGGATCATAACAATAAGTATTGGTAGCATCAGGAATGTAATTAATTCTTATGTTATACCATCCTGGAATATAAACTCTAGACAACAGATTTAACATGGTTTAGTGGAACGTGTCTGTACTCTTCCTTTGAAAGTAGCGGATAACAGATCAGTACCTATGATTAACACAAAACTTGCTTTTCATCCTGGCATAAAATTTAACTACAATTTACCTTTTAAAATGCTTGTCACCATAATATATTGAACACAACTTCTGGAAGGTGTACCGAGAACGGCTTCCTAGAACAGAGCAATGCAATGACAAACATTGACAAATTGACTATTAGTCATACAATCAGGATTACTTTTTAAAGTAATAACAGAGTTGTGAATACAAATTATTATAAATACTTATTTGGTTATCATCCGTTAATAGTTGTCATATTCATGCTATAATTCTTTATGTGTTAATGTATCTTTACACAAATATGTGTTCAATGGAGCAAAAATGTTTGTTTTTTCGACAGCATGTGTAATTTACTGGTTTGTGTTTCTGATTGGCCACTTGATGAATACTTTTAGTACAACATACACACAGGGTAATATATTTATATACTTTTATAAACTTTAGACAGCCCTTAGATTCTTAAAAATAATTAGACTCCTTGTAGATTCATGATATAATTGTATTTTAGTGCAATACTCATTTATTTTTATACCACCGCAAAAAATTTTGCGATCATATATTGGTATCGCGTCGTCGTCGTCTGAAGACATTTGGTTTCCAGACAATAACTTTAGTATAAGTAAATAGAAATCTATGAAATTTAAACACAAGGTTTATAACCATAAAAGGAAGTTTGGGATAGATTTTGGGGGTTATGGTCCTAACAGTTTATGAATTAGGGGCCAAAAAGGGGCCCAAATAAGCGTTTTTCTAGTTTCCAGACAATAACTTGTGGATCAGTGTATGGATCTCTCTGAAATTATATCACAAGTTTCCATACCACATAGGGAGGGTTAGGATTGGCTTTGGGGGTTAATGGCTCAAACCATTTAGGAATTAGGGGCAAAAAAGGGGGAAAAACTAGGGGTTTCCTGGTTAATGGACAATTACTTTCAAGTACAATGCTAAGTTTGGATTACCTCCCTTACACTGCTTTTAAATTATGTATAAAGAAATATTATATTGTCCTGAGGTGATTAGCTGGCAATTTATTTTTAGAAGTTACTATTAAAAATGCTGATTCAGGAATATTAATTTTAGACATGATTATGTATGTCATTTTCTATTTTAAGACTTTTATGATGTATTTAAATGGGTAATTATTGTTACAAACTCCTTTGGAAATTTGAATTGAGATTATGACCATATCTTGAGGGAATTTTTCTTTTGAAAAGGTGGGGGGGCTGGTGAAAATAAAGGGGGGGGGGGGGGGGTAAAAAAGATATTGTGAGGAGGGGGGACAATTTTTTTCTCATTTCAGATTTCAGAAATTAAAATTTTTTTTTTGAAAAAAAAGGGGGGGGAGGGTCAATTTATTTTTTTTTAGGGGAGGGGGGGGGGGGGTCAATTCGCAACAGCATAGTGTATTGCACAAAAGCAAAAAATTGAAGATAAATCATATGACCAATTCTAAGTTCTTTGACTTCAGTTATTCTGTGTCAGAAACCTATTATGTGTCAAATATTTAATTACAATCAAAATTCAGACCTGTATCAAGCGTGAATATTGTGTCCATTTTTGCCCCAACTGTTCAGGGTTGGACCTCTGCGGTCGCATCCAGCTGCGCTCGGCGAAGCAATTTATTTTATTTATTTATTTTATACTGTTTGAATTTTTGAATTTGGACATTCCTGCAAATATATTTCATTATCCTAGTATTGTAATTTATCTTTCCTCCTATACATTTCTACGAATATCATATGTTAAAAGCAACTGTGTGGAGACCGTGTATATTTCATGTGGGGTTAGAAGGCGTGGCTTATATTAATACATGTAGTAGTGGTGTTACATTACTTTATAAAAACAACACGGCGTTGAGGAAAAATCTGAAACGTTTCAACAAACGAAGAAATTGATGATGAATGATTTAAATAAATGCATAAAACACATTAAAAGCTAACAAGTTGTTATTGTTGGCATTTGTTTTTGTATAGACCAATGGAAGTAGGTTCTTTATATTGAAGACTTGATCACTTTGATAGGCCACTAGTCTAAATGCCACATGTTTTACGGACGCCATTACGAGTTGGTTGACCGTTATGGAATATCTGTTATATAGATGATATCGGATATGTTCCTTATGTCGTAACTACAATCCCGTTCCCTTTTCACGAATGTGACCTACCGAATTAGACTTTTTATACGCCCATTTACAGGACGTATTATGGTATACCGTTGTACGTCCGTCTGTCTGTCTGTCCGTCCGTCTGTCCGTCCGTCCGTCGTCAACATGTCGGACATTAACTCAAAAACGCTTTAACCAATTTGCATAAAACTTTGGTGAATTGTTTATATTTATTGACGTGAGCTCCCTTTCGTTTTTTATAAATTTTAGATTTTACGTTTCCGAGTTATGGGGTTTTATTCATTAAAAAAAGGGGGATTTTCCAGTTTTCGGACAATAACTCAAGAATGCTTTCACCAACTTGCAAGAAATTTTGGTTGATTGTTTATATCTATTGACATGAGCTCCCTTTGGATTTTTATAAATTTTAGATTTTATGTTTCCGAGTTATGGGGTTTTATTCATAAAAAAAGGGGGATTTTCCAGTTTTCTGACAATAACTCAAAAATGCTTTCAGCAGTTCTCATGAAACTTTGGTGAATTTTTGATATCTATTGATGTAAGCTCCCTTTAGAATTTTATAAATTTTAGATTTTACATTTCCGAATTATGGGGTTTATTCATTAAAAAAGGGGGGATTTTCCATTTTTCAGACAATAACTCAAAAATGCTTTCAGCAATTCGTATGAAACTTTGGTGAACTGTTTATATCTATTGATGTAAGCTCCCTTTAGAATTTTATAAATTTTATTTGTTTATAGTCTGACAACAGATTTACTAAGTATTGAGCAACAGCACAGTGTATTGCACACCAGCAAGAAATCTTTAATTGAATATAAATTCAATTCATATAACCAACTTCAAGCTCTTTGACTACATTTATTCAGAAACCTATAATACATGTATGTCAAATATTTAATTACAATCCAAATTCAGACCTGTATCAAGCTTGAATATTGTGTCCATTTTTGCCCCAACTGTTCAGGGTTAGACCTCTGCGGGCGTATCCAGCTGCGCTCAGCGAAGCAGTTTATTACCTTTATTTGTGACATTTTTACCTATTGTGTCTGTTTGTTTTGTTCACGCATTATTATCAATATTATTAAATTTGATGCGACTGTCGTACAAGTGAGAGGTTTGGCGCTATAAAACCAGGTTCAATCCACCATTTTCTACATTTGAAAATGCCTGTACCAAGTCAGGAATATGACAGTTGTTGTCCATTCGTTTGATGTGTTTTGTCATTTGATTTTGCCATGTGATTAGGGACTTTCCTATTGAATTTTCCGCGGAGTTCAGTATTTTTGTGATTTTACTTTTTATGTTAAGATAGTCGGTAAGATAAATTCATTACATGGTGTTGTAGTGACATAATATGATATATATGGGGTCAATAAATTCCATATATATATTGTATTAGGTCACTACCGCATTATGTAACTAATAATATGTCATTTAGTTCTTGCAATCATGTAATAACATTTTGTTGTTTTAATAAACTAACTCTACAAAATTATTTTAGTGTAATCTGTTCTCTGTATATTCTTTGATAAAATATATAAATTGAATAATTGTCATAAGTAACGAAACACTGCTTTGTTAAATTAGATTAAACAGAATCACAGGAATATTTGTTTTTTCCTAACTAGAAGTAGGTCCATACAATTACTGTCTTACCTGTCTTTATATCTCAAACCAAATACAGTCATTAAGTTGATTAAACAAAATATAATTCATTGTTTAGATCAGCTTCTGCTGTATTAAGATCTTTATCATTCGATTTGCCAGTCATTTTGCCTTTTTTTTTGTTGTGTCTACTGGACATACTTCATACCTTTACCAATACAAAAGAAAAACAAAGCACATATATTTTAAAGTGAAAATTTGGGGCAACAGTAGTTTACCAGTGTTGAAATTTTGTAAATACATTTAGAATATAAATCTTATTAATCAGGATAAATAAAACCTGATTGTATTGCATGAACTCTAAATTGAACAAGAGTTGGTGCACTGACAGGATTATAACTTCAGCATGGCAAATTCGAGAAGTGTTCAAGTCTCTGAGTACCCTTTGCTGCATTTAAGCATTAGTGACGTAAATTTTTTTATACCACTTTAATTTTTCATACTAAAACTTCCAACAAGGCAAGACTTTTATATATACTTAAAAGTGTTTACCTGGTATTTGAAAATATAAGATCAATCTTCTCCCAACTGTATGCAAGCCAGGAATTCACTTTTGTTTTTTTTGGGGGTAAAAATGATACTGATTAAACAAGACTGAAGTGTATTGTAAATTGCTTGACTTATAAAAATAATTATTTTACAACAACTTATGCTGCTCATTTATGTCATATTACTAGTTATATTGGTTTACCCCAGGCAGTCTGTCCCATGAAATTTTTGTTGCATTTTGCTTAGAAATTACAAATTGGAACACCTGATTTGTGGGAGTATGTCATATAACAGGATGCATTTTCAAATAAATCGGTCATTAACTTCCTGTTTTCCAACATATGAAGTTTCTTACACATAATGGTCATGTATTCAATTTTGCCATAGATTCTAGTTTGAAGCCATCTATCTGTGTCAATATCGAGGAAAAAATAAAGATATGAAGCAGACCTTATTGCATTTTACTCAGAAACTATGGGTAAGAGCTTCCTGAAATTTGGTGTCTTTTCTGTGAGCATGCATTTTTACTTCAACGTACATCAACTTCCTATTTACTTATAGATAGTTTATCATTAGTTTGAAGTGCCAATGTGACAAATATCCACCATAAACCAAAGGACATGCATTTTAGCATCTTGAGGTCACCGTACAGCCTTCAACAATAAGCAAAACTTATAATGAATAAGGCCACGGTATGACAAAATATGAATTATGGTAAAACATTAAACGAAAAAAACAAATATTGCATACAGCAACCAACCACAGAAGTGTCTGTCCATCCGTCCGTACGTACCAAAGTTGGTTTCCGTTCTCTAACTTTAGTTTGCTTCAACCAAATGTTATGAAACTTATACAAAATGCTTATTACCACAAACACAGATCAAGTTTGAATTTTGGTGGTGTCACTTTAACCGTTCTAGAGTTATGCCCCTTTACAAATAGATAAATTGCTGAATTGTATCCATTCTCTAACTTAAGTTTGCCTCAACCAAATGTTATGAAACTTATACACAATGCTTATTACCACAAAATATAGATCAACATGGAATTTTGGTGGTATCACTTTTACTGTTCAAGAGTTATGCCCCTTTACAAATGGAAAAAATGCTGAGTTTTTCTTTTCTGTTCTCTAACTTAAGTTTGCCTCAACCAAATGTTATGAAACTTATACACAATACTTATTACCACAAAACTCAGATCAAGTACAAATTTGGGTAGCGTCACTTTTAACGTTCTTCAGTTTTGTCCCTTTATAACTTTATATGATATTCAAGCCATCATCTGTGTCCCATGGACACATTCCCCATTTATTTATAAAATTTCTGTCACATTTTTTTCTCAAGGGTATTAATAACTGTTTCCGGAAATTTGTTATCAGGCTTCATTTTAGCATGCTTTACAGGGTGACATTGTTTCAGATTCATCGCTCATAAACTTCATGTTAACAGAATGCTTATATATCCTAAATATACTGGCCATGTATGCGATTTTCGTCGCATGTTTCTACGGAACTACTAATACATGTAAGAGCTTCCTGAAATTTATATCAGGCTTTATGTGAATGTGTTTTACTGTGTAAAACATTTTCAGATTCATTTTTGTTCCACTTCCTGTTTACCCAATTCTAAAAGCGGTGATACCATTGGTGAGCAATAGCTCACAGTTCTACTTGTAGAACATACATGTTTCCTTTTGGGCTTCCAACTTTTTGGCTTCACGCGAAGCTATCAAAACTGCCAAATAAGACTCATTTATATATTAAGATATGTGCCAAGGTTTAACATGGACGATATTTTGCTACAAGATGTCTTATACAAAATTGTGAATGTGTCCCAGTAAAAGATATTTATTGGTGTGGCCTTGGCTCATAACTGATTTTACTAAAACATATGTGTAAATATTATTTTAAGCACTCAAATACGTTCTGAACTGATCAGCAGATTTTATCATTCTATTCATTTATCATTAGAATTTACACACTTTTTGAAAGGATTGATTGGTATTTTAGGTGTCAAATACTGGCTCTTATTGTACCTCCTTCTGTATAATAAATCGAATATATAAGATCTTCAAAGTTGGTCATCTAGAATGAAAGCCACGAAATTCGGACTGCCACTGGAAACAATGGCATCTTGCATTTTTGAAAGAAATTTTGGCTTGCAATAGGCCACCTACGGACCCCTTAAAGAATTGTTACAAAGGTTCTTTTGAAGTGTAGAGAGTTATACTTTCCCTACATGAAACATCAGACTTAACGTCCCAATTCCAGTCGGACGTTATTATTCATTTATACATCCCACACAACCAAATGGACGGTCTCACTCCCATAGAAAATGAAACCTATTGCTATATCTCGGGTAAACGACTGGGAACTTTATTGCTTTTTAATATCCTGCCTGTATTCCCATTTTAGTTCAAACTTTGAGCTCTTAATTGGGAGAGAAATGTTCGAGCATAAGGCCGTCCATTCGTGCGGCCTCTAATGTTCGGGGATATGGCATCATATCGTGCATCCATTCATGCAGGGATAAGAACCTCTATCAAGGTCATTTTCCATTTATGTATGGGAATTAGGACGCATTTAAAGACTTTACACGCAACGACTGTTTTAAAAGGATTTTGTGAGTCTACTAATGTGTTTGTTTATTATCAGATTCGTGCGGTCATTGAAGGTATGGTCATTGGAGCATCCGATTTGTTCAGCCACTACTGTGTGCGGTTAAGAAATTCCATTTCATGCGGCCACTAATGTGTGAGAATCAGGACGTCCATTTATTTGAAATTCCAAAAGTTCGATATATCTATCAAATGATATTGTGCAAGAAAATCTCTTTTTTTAACGACTGTATTCTTTTACACTGTGGTTCTATGTATGTTGTATGGGACTTGTATAACTGATGCATTTGTGTCATTTAAAATTAAATCAAATGGCAAAATTAAAAGCTCAACACATCAAACGAATGGAAAACAACTGTCATATTCCTGACTTGGTACATGTATTTCCTTATCTAGAAAATGGTGGATTTAACCTGGTTTTATAGCTAGCTAAACTTCTCACTTGTATGACAGTCGCATAAAATTCCATTATATTGACAACAAATGTGAACAAAACAAACAGACATAATAGGTAAAAATGTCAAAAATTGGGGCCCAATAGTCAACATTGTATTATAATCTTAATCACTATAAAGACAAACAAAAATGTCAACAAAGAAAAACAAAAAGGCATATAGACAAAGCACATCAGCAAGTACGAAAGACAAAAACACAAAAAAAAAATGACCATAGCACAATGACACAATGGAGGGATGTAGAAATACCGAGCCACGCCAAAAAGATATGATAAAAAATGTACTAAACAGTAAAGGTTGATAATATACAAAGACAAATAAAAGAACACTATACCACGTAATTAAGATGATAAACAACGTCAGTACCTATAGAATCTATACTTAAAGAACATCATGTATTATTTGTGAAGTTGATATGGAATATTTAACAGCAAGGTCTTGGTATCTTCAGATAAACTTTTTTAAACCTTTTCTTTTTTAACTTAACCCTGATTCATCAACTTTCTGCTCAGACACTGGTGACGTTTTATAAGTCTTAGTAGCAGCTGCAAGCTCTTGAATAGAAGGGGTCATAACGTTGATTTAATATAAAAGCATAACAATTGGACTTATTTAGTCCGTTGGCTGTGTGGTATGAATAAATATGCTGCTAAGCCCAGACGAAATGAACTTCTATTTAGATGCTAATGCAAGAGGCGCAATGCTATCTACATGTGAAAGAACACTCGATAGAACTCTTTGACGGGTCCGTACCTGATTCGCTATAAGGCAACATGACTACCCTACTTGTGATAATGTTTAAAAAAAGCAATTGAGTTCTCAACCTTTTACACAAGTATAAGTAAATCCTAACAATCAAGCTGTACCTGTATATTAAGAATCTACCAATATGTCCAGCAACCAATGCTTAAAGATATATGTAACTACTGTATGAACAGATAAATATCAGAAAATTATCGTTGGAATATATTCAAGTCCTTACTGGAGTCCTTACCAAAATGAGATATCTTTTTTTTTTAAATTTTGAATTTATAATGTTCATCCAATAAAGTGAGTCCTCAACAACCTCTTAGCAAAATCACTTCCGGTTGAACATTATTATTACCCTTGCCTAAGTAAACTCTCATTTATTTCCGAAGGGTTTGACATTATGCTTTAAACGGTGACATCGACAATGATTTTGCTGTACTTGTGTTTAAGGTGTCGAAACCTTGTATACACCGTGCGTTATGTCGCAAAGTAGACACGATATTCAGAGAGGAACAAGACGTTTTGTTCAGTGCTTCGTGGGATAGTCTCAACCAATATAAGAAATTTATTTAGCTATCAATATTTACATAGTGCAATAACAAATATAATTGCATAATTGGTGCACATGTTTGTAAAAATATAGGAAATATTTACACTTTTGAAAGATTAGTGTTGGAACTAAAACAGTCATCATATTCATTCGTTAGAAAATTGTTTTTCGAGCAAGATACTTTATCTAAAGTACTTGTTTCAGCGCATCTAGACTTAGTTTTTGAGTAAGTAGATTCAAACGTGATCGGTGTGTAAGTCTTCAAATAATCAATTTCATTTGTGTTTAGAGGTACATATAAATGTGTGGCATCGTCTTTAGAATTTGAGTGATTTGTAACTAAAGCATTTCCTGACGACTCAAACTTTGTATGCGCTTCAACACCTTCGAGATTTGATGTTGATTTTGTTTTTGTGTAGGTACACTCAGATGTGATCGGTGTGTAAGTATGTAAGTATTCAATTTCATTCGTATTCAAAGGCACATATGGATCTGTGGCATTGTCTTTAGAAATTGAGTGATTTCCATTTAACGAAATGAATATTTTAGACTCTATTGCACTTGTTGCCTTGTATGTTGGTGACAACTCTTGTTTTATTGGAGTAGTGTAACTGTGTAAATATTCCATTTCACCTGTAATGAGCGGTACATATGGATGTAAATATTCATCTGTTTTGACGGACGTGACGTCACAATCGTCTGATGATTCGTCGCCGTCAGTCAAATTTATAGATTCCGGTTTATTTTCGGAATGCACTTGCACTATTCCGACAGCATTTCCTTTATTCAAATGCGGTGATAATCTACCAGCATTGTTATTTAATTGTGGTTTGTTTAGGGACATATTTGTACACGACGTACTTAATTCAGTAGATTTTGATTTATTTAAGCTCAGATCTCCTAAAGAACCAATTACTTTAGTTGAATCGTTATCGTCGACAATGTCTAAATATGATGGTTTGGAGGACGATAACATATCACGACGTTTTGGTAGACCTGGACTTCTTTCGATATTTTTTATATCATATTGATCAGGGTAATCATAATGCGTCATTTTGTTTTCATCAATTGATTCATACATAGAAGATTCCTCCTCAATTTGAATCATAATGGCCTTTTCATGCGAATTTGGTTTATTATCTTCTTCGCCAGGGAGCTTGTTGAGCTGTTTATCACTTGCTGACTTATCTTTTGCTTTTTGTTTTCATGTCTTGGTTCGACACCTACGGTTGAGACAAGCATTGCATATAACCGATATACATAATACCAGCACCAGTCCAGCTCCTAATAACCAATAATAAAACTGTTCTTGTCCTGACGGTCCTAAACAACAACAAAAACAATTATCGTATTATTGATGTTTTATACAATAAATTTCTAAAATGAATACACCACGCGTGCATTTTATAAAATTGGAAATATATACCCATATATATCTATTTCTGGCTGTTTGTTTGTGATCTATATCAACCACACTTGCATTATAATGCATTATATATTTAAAATTATAGGTTCTTTATCTATATATTACTTTAAGAACTTAAATTGTTCTTTATTTTGTTTTTTATCTCATTGTTTGTATTGTATTGTGAAAATTATTGATGTTGTAATGTTTATGCCCTTTGGAGCACATAATTAGAAATTCTTCTTCTTCTATACTATATGCGAGTATTTGGCCAAACATTTACAGTAATATATACGTTAGCATTTAACTTACTCGTATGTATAAAAAGGAGGAAGAAGTTATGCACAAGTTGATTGCTCTAGAGCTATTATACAATGGTATGTAGATCGAATGTTTGGTCGACCTACTTGCAAAATGTGTTTTAAAGTTTTCTCAATCATTGGCATTGAAATTGACTTATGCAGACACTGAATGTGTGTAGTTTTAATTTATACAAAAAAATCATTTATCAATAGAACTACCATAATAACCTTAGTCGTATTTGGCAAAACCTTTCGAAATTTTGTGTCCTCAATGCTCATCAACTTCGTACTTTATTTGACCTTTTTTACATTTTTGATTCAAGTGTCACTGATGAGTCTTTTGTAGATGAAACGTCTGTCGTACAAAATTTAATGCTGGTATCTATGGCGAGTTTATTGTAAAGGATTGAAGTAGTTTATTTTGAAAAATTTGTTGGTACCAAATAATTATTCTTTTCATCCTTTCTCTCTTTCTTACTTTATGAAATGGTTTTTCAACTATCCTGGTGTAATTTTACCTGTACTCTTATTTCTCTTTCAGTAATAAAACTTTCGAAATGTACACTCAATAGACTTGCACAGAGATGATTGAAGCCATGATGTTTTTATAATTGACAATTTTGTTTGTTTTGTCGATTAATTTTTCCCTTTATATGATTGGTATTCCCATAATGACGCACTGTGCTCTGTTAGTGTATATTTATTTCTTTACTACTATGAATCACACTTTACGGCAAATTTTTGTAAGACCCATTTAAACAATATTTGATCGATATTTCCAACAATATCATAGAGACTTTCAACCATATCTTTTTTGTAAGCAATCTGTTATTGTAAAATATGTAATAATGACTTTGATTGTTAATCAACTTACATTTGGCCTTGGGCATTACTGAGGAGACATATATTTTCGAAACGAAAGGCAAGAAAACAGCGAATGCTTATCCATCCTGAACACCTAGGTTTACCACCGTTTTTGCTGAATCGTAAATTTTCTTTGTGGTGTTTTGTGTTTCATAGTTTTTTCTTTTGGCCATGCTGTTATTTTCGGCTGGTTGTTTTTAGTTGTGCATTTGATTTATTTTCCTCCCTTACAAAATTGTTCAGTAAACCAAAATAGCAAACATTTCAAAATCTTAATATTACAATATTTATAATCTTTAAAGAAGAGGCTGGGGATTCCAAGAAGACATCCAAACCCCATGATTTGAAGAGAACGTTGCATGCTTCGGAAAGGTTATCAGATCCTGATTCACATGAGAAATTTAAATGATGTGAGGTGTAAAATATTAGTATAAATTTTTAAACATACCCGAATTTGTGACTGTTTCCGCATCACCTGGATCGGTGTTCTCTACAGTTTGCTTGCTGTTTATTCCTTAAAACAGTACATATATAAAACAGAGATAAATTTATGATACAACATATTCCATAAAACATGCTTATATCAAATACTAGTATGAACAGAATGAAAATGAATTAGGTCACATGGTCAACTTAAAAATGAAGTCTACTATCAGATACTCCTGGCTGAAAATGATTTATTTTTGTGTGATTCTTAGTCGGATATGAAACCAGAGGATAATGATTATACTGAATTAATTACTGAATGAAACTACTTTGTAAATAATTTTACGCAGGGTCTACATGCTAAGTAAAACTTGAGCGCATTCCAATGAAATTCGTTCAAACATGCAGGAAGTGCTTACCTTTGAAAGCTCTTGAGTTCAAACGTTTTTTTATGGGGTTCCTTTTTGCTCGATATTTACTTTTCTGTTTAGTTATAAAGATATGATGCGTCCTTGACGCTACACCGCACAAACAAACACAAACACATCACGAGGTCTACACGAGGTCTTTATAAACAAAACTCTGAATGTTCAGTAGTTGTCGTTTGTTGATGTGGTTCATAAGTGTTTCTCGTTTCTCGTTTTTTTATAGATTAGACCGTTGGTTTTCCCGTTTGAATGGTTTTACACTAGTAACTTTTGGGGCCCTTTATAGCTTGCTGTTCGGTGTGAGCCAAGGCTCCGTGTTGAAGACCGTACTTCGACCTATAATGGTTTACTTTTATAAATTTTGACTTGGATGGAGAGTTGTCTCATTGGCACTCATACCACATCTTATATCTATCTATAGCGTATGTCAATGTCCAAATCTCGATCCTCATGTCTATAAAAATTGAGAAATTTTTTAAAAAGAAGCTATCAAAGATTTGCCACCATGAGAACATGCCCTGGTATATTCTATCAACTGAGATACGTTACTACTCATGAATGAAAATTTACAAAAGTAAAATACTAGTAATAATTCACAAGAGATAAAAATAATAGCGAACATACTTCCATCATATGTTGGTTTCTCTGTTGCATTGGCAACGGTAGTTGTTATCTGTAATCCTTTTGTAGAACTTTTTGTCTGTACTCCTTTTGTAGAACTTTTTATCTGTACTCCTTTCGTAGAACTTTTTATCTGTACTCCTTTCGTCGAACTTTTTATGTTTTCTTCATCTGTAAAGTAATTTATCTTGCTACTGAAGCTTGAGAGGCAAATTTCTAAGCAAGAAAATATTATTTTTGTCAGCTAATGTTCCTAGACACAGATAACAACGAGAAAACCTTGTATAAATGACCTAGATCAAAGAGTCTGAGCTATGTTTGCTGTTAATAAAACACAAGTTGAGTAAAATGTCATTTATTCAGAAATTAATTTAAAATGCAACTTACATCTTAACAATTATAATAGTACTGCATAAATGACAATGACTTTAATAAGCAAAGGTGGGGTTGAAAAAGTGCCACACCCTAACATAATGAACATCATAAAAATGACAAAAATAAAAGTGAGTTGAAAAAATTAACTCACCAACATATATATATACAAAGTATATAAACAATACAATGAATATTGTCCTTAATTAATGTTTAAAGAAAAATAAATGTCCTATATAATAACGCTTAAAAGGGAGGGAAATGGGAGGGTTTTCAGATAAAATTCAAAAACGATCTTTTCTCTCTCCCAAAACAAAGGCGAATGACCGCATGTCCGAGCACATGTAGAAATTTGATATTAATTACCGATCTCAAGAACTGACCAATCAGATAATGTAATTAGATGATCATGCATTGAACATGCAGTCCTTGACCTCATGTTGATATACTTAAACAAAGAAATGCCTTCTTACACACATGGCATTAATAAAATCAATATTATCGGAAATTCCAGCCAAAAAGTCTTTTATTTACAATAAATGTTATTTTGTCAGCTAATGTTCCTAGACACAGATAACAACGAGAAAACCTTGTATAAATGACCTAGATCAAAGAGTCTGAGCTATGTTTGCTGTTAATAAAACACAAGTTGAGTAAAATGTCATTTATTCAGAAATTAATTTAAAATGCAACTTACATCTTAACAATTATAATAGTACTGCATAAATGACAATGACTTTAATAAGCAAAGGTGGGGTTGAAAAAGTGCCACAAATCCCAAGAGGGATCCCCATCCGAGGACTCTGTATTCAACTTAAGGAACTCCAGAACTAGAAAAATTGAGCAAGCCATGTTGACCTCAACAAAAAAAAACACACAAAATGGAATAAAATATACACCTTTTAACTTTTGCATTTCAAGTAAAAGTGTAGAGCAAACCATGTTGACCTCTACAAAAACATTAACACAGATTATAAACAAAGCAAAAAATAATATATACTAATATAATGAAACTTGTAAATGAAAGGTAAAGCAAGCCATGTTGACCTCTACCAACCAAATAAATACCATTACATATATAGTAAATGACTGATGGCAAAAACTTAAATTTGCAGAGCAAACCATGTTGACCTCTACAAAAGTAAATAATTCTAACATGTATAAAACAGTCTTGTTAATCCTTACAAAAAATGAATCACAATAAGGTAAAGCAAGCCATGTTGACCTCTACCAAAGCACTTAGTAAGCGACTGTGATTATATTAAATCTAAGTGTGAAAATTATCAAGTCGAATATAATGTTGAAAAGCGTTTGACTTCCATCTACCCATGTTTTGGATCAAGGCTAAAGGCACACCTCTGGCAGCTGCAGATGTCGCAGCTCCAATTCTGAAACTGTGACCTTTATAAAAATTTGTGTCTAAACCTACGAAATTAAGCAAACTTTTTAATGAAGAATTGAAATAAAAACCTGAAACAGGTTTTCCACATTTAAATCGAAATAAAGGACCAAGTGGACAATTATGTAACCTTAGATATTCCTCAATAGCTTTAACAGGACATAGATAATTTTCAGGACGTCTAGCTATTGATAATGTCTTACTTTGCAGATTACTATGTTTGTAGAACTTCATAGTAATTGTCATATTGCTCACATGACCATTTACTCTTTCAAACTTTATATCTTCCCTTTGAATTACTCTATAGAATTCAGACTCAGTTTTAACTGCAATTTCTCCAATACGTAAGAAACAAAAATAAGCTGTAGACATCATAGCCTTTAACAAAACTTGATTATAAATGCCAACTATTACTTTTGGTAAAGCCTTAACTAATTTTACAAGAATATCATAGGTTATTGGCAACCGTGTATCAACAGAATGTCTCAACTGTTTTGTACCTTTTAACATTTTTTTTAATAAAAAATGTGTCTGTTGGATCCTGTAAGAACTTAATTTTATGTATAAAACTGATGGCTGATATGTATGACGCAATTGTAGATGGTTGATAATTTTGAATAAACAAATGTGAAATAAAATGAGCAACCATGACATGAGTAGATGGAAGTACCATAACTCCTGGAAAAAATTTCTGACCAAAATTTGAATACACACTTAGCATTCTATTATATGATGACACAGTAGCATCAGATAATGATGCACTAACAAGCTTATCAGTCATAGATGCAAAAATTGAGGTGGAATGGCCACAGGAGTTGGACTTAACCAAGGAGCAATCTGATGAGCTTCCTGAAATGAAAAACGAGACAACAAGTCACAAATAACGTTTGTTTTTCCAGGAATATGTTTGGCTCTAAAATAGATATTGTACTTTAATGCAGCTAGCACTAATCTTCGAATCAATTTCATAATATTCTTTTCTCGAGATGATATTTTATTTATAATTTCAGCAACAGCTGAATTATCTGTTAAAAACAGTATTTTATGATTTGCCAATAGAGGGCCCCATATATCAATAGCTAACACAATCGGGAAAAGTTCTTTCACTGTAATGTGTAAATCGACTAACTCCGGTGGCCATTCACCTGAAAACCATTTGCTGCCAAAAACTGCAGCAAAACCACCATATGTACCTGCAGCATCAGAAAAAAGTTTTAAAAAATCTGATGAAACCCATTCTTTAAATAAAAAACAAGATTTACCATTGTAATTTTCAATAAAATTGTACCATAACTTCAGATCTAATCTTGCATCAGAATTAAGATTGATTCTATAATGAGGAGATGTATGGCCTATAGTCAGGTCAAAAAGCCTACGTAAAAAGGCTCTTCCAGGTATGATAACTCCGCATGCAAAATTTAAAAGACCCAATAAGGATTGCAATTCTCTAAGTGAGATACTGCGTTTACATTTGTATTTACTCAATAATTGCAAAATTTTTTCAATTTTTTCCATAGGTAAACGAGCTACCATCTGAGTAGAATCAATTTCAATACCGTAGATAATAATGCAAGTAGTAGGGAGTTGTGTTTTGTCTGATTTGATGGGTACCCCCAATTTATCGGCAAGACAAAGAAAAGTTTGTAATGCACTATAGCATTCATTTGAGCCAGCTTTTCCGACAAAGAAAAAATCATCTAACAGGTGTGATACCCCATATATTTGAAATTTAGCATTTAAAATCCAGTGGAGGGCTGTAGAAAAAGACTCAAACAGCTGACACGAGGACGAAGCCCCCATGGGGAGGGAGACATCATAAAAAAATTGTTTGTCCCAATGAAAACCCAATAGATGATGATCTTTTTTAGCAATTGGAATTAAGCGAAATGCATGCTCAATATCTGTTTTGGACATTAGACAATTTGATCCATAAGATTGGACTAAATCTATAACTGTTTCAATGTTTTGGTATTGTACAGCCGAAAATTCTGGGGAAATACCAGAGTTTACAGAGTCACCCTTAGGATACGACAAATCATGTATTAATCGATAAGAATTGGGTTCCTTTTTTGGAACTAAACCCAAAGGGGAGCATACAAAGAGAGGGAAAGGGGGCTTTGTAAAAGGACCCTTAACTCTACCTGCTTCAATCTCTTTATTTAGTTTTGATTGCACAACATGATAATTTTCCCTTGCACTTTTATGATTTGGAGGAAAAATCTCTTTATTTAGGGATGTAGAAAAACAAGAATTAATTGAAAATCCAAAAGAAAAACCATGAATCAATTTATCTTTCAACTGTGTTTCATAACCTGCTAAAAAGTGTTTTAAATTTTCAACCTTTATTGGTGTTGGAAGTTTTGACAAAGTTTGCTTGTTTTCCTTTTTGCTCTGGACATGTAAGGGTACAGTGTTTCTTGCTGCAGTGTACACATTGGTGTTTAAGTTTACAAAACTTTGATGTGCATTCCCCTGATTTACAGAAGGCCCAGCAATAGCCATTTGGGAATTGATACTGATGCTGGGCCCTCCTATGAAAAGAATTTGGGCCTGAGTTTGAGGTTTTGGCAAATGACTTCTTATTTTGACCTGAAAATTCAGATTGTCTGTCATATAAAGCTGCAGATCTCCAAAGTTCATCATTTATTTCATCCCATCGTAACCCTAAAATTTTCCTTATCTTCCTAAATTTCTCGTCATATAATTTAGCGGCTTGGAAACCCAAGGACTTGCATAATGACCGTACATTAAAACCATATTTTATCAATGCTTTAGCAGACCTCAAATTCTTTTCAAGATATATAGACATAAATATATCAAAAGCATTTGTCCATTGGTGAATGGACAAAAGCTCTTTGTTAGGTTTCCTATTTGAAATCGTAATATTTAAATTTTCAAATAATGTTGATTCATTACATGTATCATCAATATTAGAAGGTAACAATAGAGCAAAATTTACATAATTATCACACCAAACATCAGATTTAACCTTATTGCTGACATGGTAATCTAAAGGTATAGTATGTCTCAACATTTCACATGCATATGGATTTTCTTCATTTGAGTTTAGCAGCTCACCATCAGAAGGAGTGTTGATATTAGGATCTGAGGAAACTGGTGGTTGAAAGACAGCTAACATTGGTCCCTGGGAGTCAGTAGTTGACGAATTTTCTGGTTGTATAGATGATGACGACAATATACCAGTTAAGTCATTAATTGGAACTGCTGTATTGTCTTTGACAAGTTGAACGCCAGAACTTTGAAACTTCAGGAACAAAGCATCAGCAATGTCATTTGCGGTTGGAACAGACAGATTTTCAGGAGCTGTTTGTCTGGCCTTGCGTCTCCGCACTGGTGGCCTGTATATTGGTGGTAACTCCTGACTTTGTTCCTCCACTAAATCGTGAACATCCTCTACCAGGTTTTGTGGAGCAGCCTTTCTTCTTGTTCTGCTTTTCTGCTTTGGCATTTTGCTATAAATACATAAAACAAAAAATAAAAATCCTGTATTATCACAGAATTTAAAGAATGTTACTATATAAGTAAAATTTTTAAACCAAAATGCTTGTCCGGCAAATTAAACATAGTTGATATGATGATATATCAAGCAAAATATACTCATGTTTAAAATTAAGTTTGATTATGATATGCTTATTAATACTCCAAAACCAATTTTTAAAACCAACCAATATGTATAAAGTACTTCAATTGTACCAAAATCGATCCCTATTGTGACACAACCATTATAGGGAAAGACGTGATTTATTCTCTGATTAAATAAACTAATAATACACTAATATAATAGTATATAAACCATGATTATGAATAAATAATCAATAATTAAATATAAACAGAGACATATTATATTATATAACTCTGATATAAATGATGTAACCAACCATAATAAAATATAAATAAGACATTTTTCATGTCACCAGTGTCACAACCATGTGCATATAAGCACAACCACTCAGAGATATTTTAAATTATAAAATCGTTAAGGTGATGGAGTAATAATATGCAAATAATTCATAGATAACTAAATAATTGTATTGTATGCTTCTTCTTCTTCGTATGTCCTTCCAATTAGGAACAATAAGTAATAACAATCATACACGGTAGTTTGCAACGCAAGTTTGCTCGACATTACATGTACGTGAAAGGCTACCAACAGCAGCACGAACACTTCTAGCGTATATTTCCATACCTTCATCATTAAGATGAACTTTATCTTTTAATAATAAATCTGGGGTGTTCTTCCACAACCCCCTATGATGCCAGAAAGTCGTATTATCTCTTTGTTTTAGTAAATGACTAAGTTCTTTGTTTACAATGTAAACCTTGTTGTTATAATAGGTTTCCGGTCTTTCGGAATACCTCGGGAGAAGTTGACCAATAACCACGTGGTTAACATGATAGCAATTAATTATGTAATCGGCAAAAACGCTGATATCTCTTGCTAATTTTACGGGCTCATTTTCAGACGATAAATCGTTGCCTCCAACCTGAAGAAAAACCGAATGTGGCGTATATTCTTCAATTATATGCATATAATGTTGCTTTTGAACACATTTATTACCGGGGCGAAGAGTCCCTCCCCCCAAACCAAAAAATTCCACCTGGATATCGGTTCCGTCTAAACCTAAATTTAACCAACCTCGATCACAGTTTTCATGAGTAAATGTTTCTAAACGACGAATAAAAGAATTACCAAAAATTAAGGCACGCCGGACCATGTTTCAAAAGCAACTAATCTATTATAAAAATTAATAAATTAAAAATTACTAGCTATCAAAAATATATTGAATAATAGTTAAGGTTCGCTTTTACCTTATAATCTGTGGATTCTTCGATGACTGCCTTTCTTCAGTACTTTTTCAGTTTTTCAGATAAAATTCAAAAACGATCTTTTCTCTCTCCCAAAATAAAGGCGAATGACCGCATGTCCGAGCACATGTAGAAATTTGATATTAATTACCGATCTCAAGAACTGACCAATCAGATAATGTAATTAGATGATCATGCATTGAACATGCAGTCCTTGACCTCATGTTGATATACTTAAACAAAGAAATGCCTTCTTACACACATGGCATTAATAAAATCAATATTATCGGAAATTCCAGCCAAAAAGTCTTTTATTTACAATAAATGTTATTTGTTTCAAAACAAACTATTTTGGCTTCCAAAAGGTTGCAAATGAAAGGGTCCCTAGATGCAAATCAGTTTACTATGGGATATTTGATGGTTGTCATTCCGTGATTTCATGACGTATACCCATTTTATTTTTGTTTGAATTTGAGCATGTCCATGAGTTCACAAACGTCTTTACCTGTTAAAAGCTTCATAAACCAAACATTATCTTATACGGTTTTAACTGTTTTGTTATTGCCATTTTGGTGTTCATGTTGATGAACATTTATTCTTCTGCATTTTTTGTTGATAATCACGATGTTTATTGGACGACAACACATACATTTAGGGGTTAAATTCCAGTTTACAGGTCTATAACCAATTAAGGTAAGTCGCCATTTTGAATCTCGGAATTGATTGGTATTTGATTTCATCAATCATAAACAATATAATCAGATATTATCTCACCTGAACATCTCCTTTTTTGTTAAAGTGTATTTCATTGTAAAGCGTACATTAAGCCTTTCGTCATACTGCTCATAACATTAACGGTACAAATTTTACTGCACCAGAAATAATGTCTCTTCAGTTAGGCAGATTCCTTAATTTGTAATTTAAGATTTCCAAAGACAAGCGCTTACGTTCAACTTTGTTTTTCTGTCGCAAGCATCAATTTACCTAGCTTCGTTATACGTCAAGCTTAAAGTGAAATACAGTTATCTCTTATTTTCTTTGTCCAAAAATAATGTTGTTTGTCTCTACCAAAATGGTGACGGTTGCCCCGGACAAACACGTCATACGAACAGAGATCAGTATCTTACACGCTTGATAACAGATGCAAAGTCCAAATCATGTAAAAATCAATATTGTAATATTAAAAGAAATACTGACTTTACTGTATAGGTTGCAATTTGTAAATAGAGCTGATTCACAAAACCACACCTCGTTTGTTGAGATACTTCATAAAAGTGTTGTTTTGTTTACTTACTAGTTCATAGATAGGATCTCTATAGTTTATCTCATAGAGACATAACTTGGGAATTTTATGCGACTGTCATACAAGTGAGAGGTTTAGCTAGCTATAAAACCAGGTTTAATCCATCTTTTCCTACATAAGGAAATGCCTGTACCAAGTCAGGAATATGACAGTTGTTTTCCATTTGTTTGATGTGTTTGAGCTTTTGATTTTGCCATTTTATAAAGGACTTTCCGTTTTGAATTTCCCTTGGAGTTCGGTATTTTTGTTATTTTACTTTTTACCAGTATAAATACAGTTGGATAGCGGTCAAATGGAAAACTCAAATTAAAGGGAGGAGTAGAACAGTATTTTTTTAAAACTTGAAATAAGGGGACCGTAGTTTACCGATCTTCAAATCTCGTTAATTGATTAAAAAGAGACAAATCAAGGTGTCAAACGAAAACTGAGGGAATCGGAAAAGGAGAAAGCATGGCTCGGTTGACAGGTTATCTCTGAGATATAGACGTATCAATTCATACCTGTTATGATATTGTCTGTAGACAGTTTCATAATAGTTGTGCTTCTGCTCTCTTTCAAAGTAAATAGACTATTAATAATTGAAAACAACAAATACCACATAAAAGAATATTTTTGGCATATGTTTTGTATTGAATTTCATCTATTTGGTGTTGAAATTGTACGATTGAAAAACAAATTAACTGAAAAAACATATCAAATCATTTTTTGATGCAAGGTCCTCCGAATCATTTTATTTCAAAATTTATCCCATTTTCGTTATTCTTGTTTTATACTTGTTTTTTCTCTCAAATTGTTCACCGTGTGTGTGTATTAACAACATTTGAATTAAAACAATGCCATGGCAAAAACCAAAAACGACGAAATACAAATTGTTTTCAAAACACAACATAGAAAACCAAGGATTGAGCAACACGAACTCTACCTATTTTGATATTTTTCTGTCATATTTTTACATTTTTGTGTAAATAATTACAACGGAATTATTTCATGTAGAAAACGTATGCGTACGAAGCGGCGGACTCAAGAGTTTCTATTAGGTCAAATATGGTCTCTTCTATCATAGCTCCATAAAAAAACCTACCGATACGATTTGTTCTAAGATACATAGGGAAAATAGCAACGCATGTTTTACGTACTTTTCCTCCATGCGTCAGGGATTTTTTCTGAAAACACGGACAATAAACAAGTATGAAATAAATACATGCAACTCTTGAACACGTCGAAAGAATAACTATTTTAATAGTAATTTGCACCGGCAACTCACCTGATCAGTCCTTTATGATATCAATATTTACCACCCGGTGATTGACTTGAAAAAGCGCTTTATTTGTTTAAACTAAATATAATTCGTTGTGAATATAAAAATGAGAAGATGTGGTATGATTGCCAATGAGACAACTCTCCACAAGAGACCAAATGAGCACATTTTGGACTTGCTTTCCAAATCATGTCTTGTCTTTTATTTCCGTGTATTAGTTAGTGGTTATCATGTTAGAAGTAAGACAAAAGGGGCGGTTTTTGTGCACGTAACTTCATTCAACCACATCTTTGTGCCTGTACAACGGCTATCTGGACGAAGCGTTGTATTTGTATTTGTGTCTACGTATATTTTTTCGGATGTGTCTGGTACAATATTTTTTTTAGTAATTCCTGCAATCCTTTTTTTGTATTATGCATTTTCTTTTAGATATTCAAAACAAAATATCAAAAATCTGATACAATTTTTCATAATAAGAAGCGGGAAAATCACGTCAATCGTCAAACTTTGAAAATAAAATGAATATGAATTAATTAGGAATATGAATTAATTAGGAACATGAATTACCTATGAATATGAATTAATTATGAACATGAACTAACTATGAATATGAATTAATTATGAACATGAACTAACTATGAATATGAATTAAATATGAACATGAACTAACTATGAATATGAATTAATCATAAATATGAGATATGAAAATGATATTTATATGGAAAAGGTAACACAAAGAACAAAGAAAACATTATAAAAAAACCAATATATATATATATATACAACAACTGTATATAAACAAGTCTAAATTGAAAACGACGTTCAAACCTATGATTGCGTTGGATAAAAACCGCAATTTTTATACGTGTGCATGCAAAACAAATTTCTTGGTGGAGGGGTCTAAATACAGCACAAACAACATTTTCCAAAAGACCAAATAAGTGAAAAAGTATATTTTAACAAAACGCATTTGACTAACAGGTCGAACAACTGATGTTCTTAAACCCTGCTGACTGCCATTGGCGATTGCCAAAAAAAACGGATCACAAGATGTAACAAAATGGATCTTTAAAAATTTATAATCTAATACCAAACAGAAAACAATAAACTTGCGGAAAAGATGGTATACCGCAAACAAAAGGTGCAAAAATTAGTACACCATATCCGGATTTCGACAATTAATGTCTCTTCAGTGATGTTAGGGATCGAAACAGTATTTGGAAGGCCATAAAATTTACCTCAATTTCGGATAGACTCTTGAATTTTAAGGAGTCGAAATAGGATAAACGGATCATATAAACCCGAAGGAAAATATAATACAAGCCCAAACGAAAAAATATAAACAAGTCTAAATTGAAAACGACGTTCAAACCTATGATTGCGTTGGATAAAAACCGCAATTTTTATACGTGTGCATGCAAAACAAATTTCTTGGTGGAGGGGTCTAAATACAGCACAAACAACATTTTCCAAAAGACCAAATAAGTGAAAAAGTATATTTTAACAAAACGCATTTGACTAACAGGTCGAACAACTGATGTTCTTAAACCCTGCTGACTGCCATTGGCGATTGCCAAAAAAACGGATCACAAGATGTAACAAAATGGATCTTTAAAAATTTATAAGTTTCGATCCCTAACATCACTGAAGAGACTTTAATTGTCGAAATCCGGATATGGTGTACTAATTTTTGCACCTTTTGTTTGCGGTATACCATCTTTTCCGCAAGTTTATTGTTTTCTGTTTGGTATTAGATAATAAATTTTTAAAGATCCATTTTGTTACATCTTGTGATCCGTTTTTTTTGGCAATCGCCAATGGCAGTCAGCAGGGTTTAAGAACATCAGTTGTTCGACCTGTTAGTCAAATGCGTTTTGTTAAAATATACTTTTTCACTTATTTGGTCTTTTGGAAAATGTTGTTTGTGCTGTATTTAGACCCCTCCACCAAGAAATTTGTTTTGCATGCACACGTATAAAAATTGCGGTTTTTATCCAACGCAATCATAGGTTTGAACGTCGTTTTCAATTTAGACTTGTTTATATTTTTTCGTTTGGGCTTGTATTATATTTTCCTTCGGGTTTATATGATCCGTTTATCCTATTTCGACTCTTTAAAATTCAAGAGTCTATCCGAAATTGAGGTAAATTTTATGGCCTTCCAAATACTGTTTCGATCCCTAACATCACTGAAGAGACATTAATTGTCGAAATCCGGATATGGTGTACTAATTTTTGCACCTTTTGTTTGCGGTATACCATCTTTTCCGCAAGTTTATTGTTTTCTGTTTGGTATTAGATTATAAATTTTTAAAGATCCATTTTAATACATCTTGTGATCCGTTTTTTTGGCAATCGCCAATGGCAGTCAGCAGGGTTTAAGAACATCAGTTGTTCGACCTGTTAGTCAAATGCGTTTTGTTAAAATATACTTTTTCACTTATTTGGTCTTTTGGAAAATGTTGTTTGTGCTGTATTTAGACCCCTCCAACAACTGTATATATATATATATATATATATATATATATATATATATAATGTCTAAAAATAGCAACAATCAACATCCAATCTATTTAGGCGTGGATCAGTTTGTGAAAATAAACTGATACAGTTACTGAATTAAAATTATATAAATGTCTAAGAATATAACTTAAACACGCTAATTAATACATTAAAAAGTTCTATTAGATTTTAAATAGAAATACGCAATATTTCGCTAAACAAATTAGCTTCATCAGGCGTATGCATCTCTCAAGGTGAAATCGGATGCATGACAAAAAATATTTTTGTAGCTTGAACTACACAAAATTTGAGTAAAAGTTTAACATATTTATTGATGTTCTATAAAAAAATATATGTTTGTAGCTTCAACTACATAAAGTTGAAGTAAAAGTTTAACATATTTATTGATGTTCGATAAATTGTATGAATTTCTATAAATTGTATGAATTTCTATAAATTAATTTGTATGATTTCAGGATTATAGTTTTGATTTGTTTTTAAATCTTTTTTCGTCTCTCTCATTGAGTCCATCAGGTTCAAGAGTTCGTAACTGGTGCATCCAAAATCTTTCTCTCTTTTGCCTTCCTTGTGTATCCCAATTTTGGTTTTTCTCAATGATTTGAAATGTGACGTTTTCAAAATCATGTCCTGCTCTTAAAAGATGTCTTGTGATTGGGCAGTTTCTTTCTTTTGTATAGAATGACCGATCTTTTAAGGAAGGATCATTTTCAATAAGACACCAGTGTTTGTGGACAATAGAATAAAGATTTGTCAGGTCAGGATGAAAGCTAACAACAAACGGGATTTTATTTGTCTGGGCCGTCTTTTCTTTGTATTCAAGTAGGTTTGTTCGGTCTTTTTCTTTTGCTTTACCGAAAGCTTCTGATATATTTTTGTTCTTATAACCTCTTGATTTAAGTTGCTGTCTGAGTTGTCCCAAACGGTGGTTTAATTTTGATTCCGATGAACAAATCCGTTTTAACCTGATGGCTTGGCTGTAAGGAATGCTCCGGGAACAGTGTTTAGGGTGACAACTCTTCGGAGAGAGAAATTGGTGTTTATCAGTTTTTTTGGTGTGAAGGTCGGTTGTCATGACTCCGTTCTCTAAAGTTATGGTGGTGTCGAGAAACGCAATTTTCTCATTTGAATCTTCAGATGTGAACTTTATAGATTGATGAAAGTTATTACAGAAATCGAGAAATTCTTGCAGACGTTCTGCAGTTTCGTTCCATTTGATGTCGATGTCATCAATATAACGGAGCCAAGACAAGGGTTTGTATGGTACACTCGAAAGGATATGTTCTTCGAGACTCCCTATGAAAATGTTGGCAAAAGAAGGTGCCATTTTGGTTACCATACTGGTACCGTCAATCTGCAAGTAGTGCTGGTCGTTGAATACAAAATTGTTGTTTTCGAGCACTAGTCTCAGCAACTGAACCAGACAGTCTGTTGGGGGATGTTTATCCTAACGATTGTTCCATACTTGTTCACAAGCGACTACTCCTTCATTTTTTGGAATATTGGTGTATAAAGAAGACACATCCATCGATACCAAAATTGTGTTGTTTGGTAAGGGATTTAATGAATCCATTTTCTTCAAATAATCTGTTGTATCTTGAATGTAGGATGGCATTGTTCTAACATGTGGTCTAAGATGGTAATCAACTAATTCAGATATTTTGTCTGTTGGATGGCCATTGGCAGATACTATCGGTCTTCCCGGAATCCCTTCTTTATGAAGTTTTGGGAGCAAGTAAAATTGACCGGCTGTGCAGGTTTCATCAGGGCGTAGATAGTCGTACGTGTCGTCATCTATGTGCATTTTGCTATTCATATCTGATAGGACCTCATTAATTTGTTTGCTAATTTCTTTTGTAGGATCACATTCTAATTGTTTGTAAAATTTAGTGTTTGAAAGCTGACGATTCCCTTCTTCAATGTAGTCGGTTTTGTTCATCACAACAACTGCACTTCCTTTGTCTGCTTGTTTAATAACAATATCATCACGGCTTTTTAAATTGTTCATGGCTTGGCTTTCTTTTTCTGAGAGATTCCATATACGTTTGCCACTGACTGATGATTTTACTTCAGTTTTGATAGATGATATAAAAGATTCTAAATTATCGTTCTTACTTCTTGGTGGATTCCATTCGCTTTTCTTTTTAAATCTGGGGATGCACTTGTCCTCTTTATCACTTTCATATTCAGAATCATTCATTCCCGCTTCCTGTAAGTTTTTTTTGTTTTGCCTATTAAAATGGTCTTTTAGGCGAAGACGTCTTGCAAATTGATCTACATCTGTAATCAATTGCAGGTTGTTAATATTGGCTGGTATAGGACAGAAATTGAGACCTCTACTTAACAATTTTTCTTCGGAGTTGGTTAATTCTGTCTCAAATCATTGAGAAAAACCAAAATTGGGATACACAAGGAAGACAAAAGAGAGAAAGATTTTGGATGCACCAGTTACGAACTTTTGAACCTGATGGACTCAATGAGAGAGACGAAAAAAGATTTAAAAACAAATCAAAACTATAATCCTGAAATCATACAAATTAATTTATAGAAATTCATACAATTTATAGAAATTCATACAATTTATCGAACATCAATAAATATGTTAAACTTTTACTACAACTTTATGTAGTTGAAGCTAGAAACATATATTTTTTTATAGAACATCAATAAATATGTTAAACTTTTACTCAAATTTTGTGTAGTTCAAGCTACAAAAATATTTTTTTGTCATGCATCCGATTTCACCTTGAGAGATGCACACGCCTGATGAAGCTAATTTGTTTAGCGAAATATTGCGTATTTCTATTTAAAATCTAATAGAACTTTTTAATGTATTAATTAGCGTGTTTAAGTTATATTCTTAGACATTTATATATATATATATATATATATTTCTCTAATTCTTCGTCAATTTATCCCTTTCTTCACCCATTGTATAAAAAAAATTTAATCAACGTGTGGTTCGTTTGATCTCAGTTCTTCATTGGTTAAAATCCGATTATGACGTCGAATTTTCTTGCTTTCCTCTGAATTTCCTATTGTGACGGCATAAAAAAAGGCGACCATGCCTGATGACGTCACATAGAAAGAACACATCTTTTTGCAGATCATTCGATAAGACGGAATAAGTTTGCCTGCATATTGTTTGAAAATCATTAGAGAAACAGATTCCACCACAAAATCTCGTGTAATATGATATTTATCTACTCTCGACAGTTAAATTTTGAATATTCAACTGTCTCGAGTGGATAAATATCGTATCACACTCGATGCAGTGGTAGAATCTATATCGAGTGGATAAATATCGTTTCACACTCGATGCAGTGGTAGAATCTATATATATATATATATATATATATATAAACAAATCTAAATTGAAAACAACGTTCAAACCTATGACTGCGTTGGATAAAAACCGCAATTTTTATACGTGTGCATACAAAGCAAATTTCTTGGCAGAGGGGTCTAATACATATATACGTCTAAACATGTGACAACTTTACGATAGATGTTTTCCATCGGACAACCAATGGTTATACAGGGCTAACACAATAATAATAATATATATATATATATATATACTTCGTTTCAAATTTAGCCCAACAATGTTAGATGTCCAAATTTGCGTCAGTAAATATTTGTTCTTCCCTCAGCGGGATTCGAACCCCTGCCTTTGTGACATCGTGGTAACACCGCCTACACTGTGTCCAGTGCCATAGACCAGTCCACCAACTAGGCTATATATATATAGATCCATACATCCAGTGCCAGTTGTGTAATGGGTTTAATTTTCACCCCTTTGAATATACTTTACATGTTTATATTTTATACATCATTGGCTTTGAAATGCTTGGTATGAGCGTTCCTGATGAAGGTAAATCCAGTAAAACGCTTAGAACGCACAAAATTAATATTTAAAGTTTTATTTCCATATCTGAGAAAAGTTTTGATTTTGAATGACAATTAATAGCATGTCAACATCTTAGTAAATACTAACTGAAAGAACTGAACCGACTGCCTTAAAAGAGAAATAATAGGGGCGAGTTATTAAAAGTTATTACATTGGTTGCAATCAAATACCATGATTTCCCAGTGAAATAAAAACCAATAATTTCACATGTGAAATAAATCCAACAATTTCACTAATGTGACGTCATACAACAACGGGCGTTGTCAAGACATTGTCGATGACATTGCATCAAAACGAATCGAGAACGCGTAGAAAAAAATATAGTTCCTTCTAATTTGTACTTTATTTCAATTTATATACATTGTAAGTTCATGGTCAATGTTATGAAAAGAATAACTAATCCAAGAATTGAAATATAGACAAATATTCAACTCCTGACCGAACAACACTGATGATTAACTTATGCGCTATGCAATTACTGTGTTGTTCGGTCACTCGTTGAATATTTTCAATAACAAATGAAGAAAAATTTGAGAATATCAATTCCACTTAACAATGCTTTGCAAATTTGAATTGAAGCTTAGATTTTTAAATTTTGGTAGACATTTTACCATTCGGAAACATATTTCTATTTAACTTGCCTGATATGTACAATGTGAATAATTGCTTCGTAATCGGTCCACCCATATTCATTTCACACCAATAAAGACCAGAATCAGATAGTATCACATCAGATATTTGAAGATTGTATTCATCATTCTTTAGTCGTCCAACAATATCATAACGTCGGCGTTTAGGGTTCCGCAAGTTAACGTCCGATTCTTTTGCAATAATTTGTTTCAAGCGACGCCATCTGTAATTTGAAGCACCATATGTAAAGTTGCATGCCAAAACAACTGTTTCTCCAATATACGTATGTGTTGATACGTTGGACCGGATAATTTCACCAAATGTGTCTGAAACAAACAATCATAATTTAAGTAATCATTTGACGGTACTGTCTAGTCTTTACAATATTTTCATTAAAACAATTTTTGTTATCAATTCAGTTTACTTAAAAAAAATTAGTGTTAACATTTCTTTTAAAAAAATTCCTTCGTTTCATTTTTAACCATTTTTTCTTAAAATGTCCTGTACCAAGTAAGGAATACGGCAGTTTTTATCAAATAGTCCGTTTCTATGTATGTTGGCGTTTGTTTTTGTAGCAGTTCAGTGTTTCTGTTGTTCCGTTGTTTTTCTCTTATAGTTGATTTGTTTCCCTCGGGTTTGGTTTGTGACCCGAATTTGTTTCAGTTAAATCGATTTATGACTATTGAACAGTGGTATACTACTGTTGCCTTTATTTATCTAACTTTAACAGTTCCGTAAGCTTTTAGTATTCCTACATAGCAACTTTTTAAGTTAAAGCATCATCCCCTTGCAGTAAAGCCTGTCCCCCAGTCGTGATCACACAATTTTAGTGTATCACAGAAGGAACTTGGTAAGTAAAAAATCGTTAAGCGAATAATAAGAGACAACACTATGGATAGTAGGGAACAAAACAAAACCATTGAAAGTTATCAACATGCTACAAAGAAAATTGAACATTGAGCTGGACATTGAGCTGGACATTGACAACCCTACAACCGAAAAGACCTGTGACAATAAAGGTTTATCTAAAGAATCCAGGGTATTGACATATTTAGTCTCACCATACAGTACTGTTGTAAACAAATCTTACGTTTATCTAGTTATCTTTGCAATATCGGTATATTTCATAAATGCATACAATATTACCTTCTGCAAATGCGCAGTGAATAACAGCCAGAAGCAAAAATCTCATTTTAATGAATATATTCCAGTATACTATCTGAAGATAAAAACATAAAAATTATATCTACAATTTCTTACAAAAGTTAAAGGACGTGTTTGAATTGTATAAAGCATGAACAAATTAGAAACCCCCGTTTGTATGCCAAATTGCATAAATAAATGTTGTACTGTTACATCACTGTCCCAGGTTAGGATGAGGATAAGGCACCAGAAAACATATTTAACACCGTCACATTAAGTGTGTCCTTGTTCAAAGTCAGGTTACTATCAAAATAGTTTTGATACTAGTATCTGCCGAATGAAAGCTTTATGTGTTAGTAATTAGGATTCATATCATTTGATTATTTATAAACCACAATAGTCTTTTGATGATGAATTAGTTTTTCAATATTTAAGTTATTGTCAATATAAAAACCTAAAATATTTTCACAATTAACATTCATGTGTAGGACTTTACACGAGAGATAGACATCTTAATCAAGCATAGTTAAACAAATTGTCTATCCTATGAATATTAATGTAACGCGTAACATGAAAACTAAGTTTATTTTTTGATGTTACAAAAACCGACTTATAATTTTCAGTTAAATGAAGTAAAGTTTAGAATAAAAGCATAATTTTTTTGTTCTCCTATTTCTGGTGTTGGTGGTTAAAATGACAAAAGAAAAAGCAGTAGTTCGAGTAACGTGTAAGAACGATAAAAGTAAAAATTTCTGAAAAAAATAACTCAAAACAGTTGTTTTCTTCATTTTTCAAATTATACAGAGAACAAATGCGTATTATTTGCGTCGATTATAAACTTCGCATTCAAATTTCTAATGATCAACACATTTTTTTAATATGTTTTTTTTTCACTCAACACAATAAGCGAGAGTAATATTTATCGTCTTCAAAATGCAGTAAATTTGGAAAACAGATAAATGTAATTATCATCTGTAATTTTTTTTTTTAGTTTTTAAATATATAAAAACTATTTCTATGGCCTCATTTAGAAAGTTTTCAACGTTCTCGTATGAATAGTCACTGAGAAAATTTGCAGAAATTGCTTTGTGATATAATATACTAGTACACACATGTTACAAAATGAGAAATAAAGGTCAGAAATGTTATTGCTGTTAAATTTCCGAGCAAATGCATTATGCAAATACACCAGAAAGATTATATAGGTAAATCATGAGTTGCTGATATATAACGAAAATGGAGGTAAACATTCATTATTTTGTCAAATCCTGAACGTAAATTAAGACATATTCAATGTGTTGCACTCATGGACACAAACACTGCATGCAACGTTATTTTGGTCATGCATATACATCTCACTAGACCACAAGATTGTCAAAAATTGAAAGCAAAATGACCGCTCATTTTGTTACTTACACTACTCTCATAAAGATCAGTTTTCAATCGTTGTGAGTGGCGAAGTAAAATCTATCTATTAACTGTACTGACGATTTCGGTCAGGTTGAAGTGGTTTTCATAATGAATGACACAATACAAGGAAGTAACCACTTTTTTTTAAATTCAAGTAACACAAGAGCTTTAGTTCAATATTATCCTTTGTTGTTGTATTAAACGCCATTTTTATTTAAATGTATTGCAGTTAACCCGGGGGGGGGGGGAGCACCCCACTGTATCCCTAAATCCTGCACGCGGAGGTGGGCCTCAGCTAGCCCCTAAATAAAAATGTATACTGAAAATGGATGTCATACTAAACTCTTAAACATATAAATGAACTAAAATTAAAAAAAACCATACAAGACTAACAAAGACCAGACGCTCCTGACTTGGGACAGGCGCAAAAAAATGCGGCGGGGTTAAACATGTTTTGTGAGATCTCAACCCTCCCCTATACCTGTAGCCAATGTATAATAAAGAAACACACAGCAATGCGCACAGTAAAACCCAGTTTAAAAGAAGTCCGAGTCCAATGTCAGAATAGGTAACAAAAGAAACTAAGCAAAATGACAATGATACATAAATTAACAAAGGACTACTAGCAGTTTCTGACATGCCAGCTCCAGACCTCAATTAAACTGATTTTAACATTATGTCTTCATCAAGCACAATCCCTCCCCTTAGGGGTTTAGTTTCGTACCATCATAAAATATATGAGAAGAACATAACCCGTGTCATGCCAACAACTGGTTTTAGAATAAATGTGTTTTTTTCCGATGCAAAGACCCTATGAGTGAATCAATATTAATACCAAAATACTAGTATGCAATCCTTAATGACCTGACAACAGTATCGTAACTATATCCCTTCTGAATAAGTCTGTTTAAAGGTTTGGTCAGCTTTTGAGGTGAATACCGACAGTTTTGTGCTTTGTAAAGAATATTACCATAAAAGATTGGATGTGAAATACCTGAACGTATAAGATGTCTGCATGTTGATTTATATTTACGAACGGGAACGTCACTTTCTAAAAATGGATAATTAACAATAGGAAATGAAAAATCATCTCTTTTATCATAAATTTTGGTATTCATTATTGAGAGCCAATATATCATCCAGATATCTAAAAGTGTTATTAAATTTTTGAATCAGATGTTGTTTCGATTGGTCTTTGCTGATTTTAGTCATAAATTGTAACTCATAACAATACAGAAACAGGTCCGCAATAAGTGGTGCACAGTTAGTCTCATGGGAAATCCGATAACTTGACGATATACGAAATCTCCATAGCTTCATGCATAGTAGAAGATGCTAGCCTTGTTGAAACACTTGGTCTTACTCCTTTGCACAATGATGACTTATATTTTCCCCAAATCAGTCTAATTGAATCTATATCTTATCTTGACTTCAGTATAGTGATTGATGTTTTTTCATCTTCTAAAATATTCTTATTATATTTAAAATATAAAAAAATACAAACCTTATGGTGATTAGAAAGTTTCCAACTGTGGTAATATACATATAATGTAAGTAATAATTTCCTGGTGTATTTTAAAGAACAATGGTTAGTCTGATGATAACAGGAATATAATATTCAATTGATAGATAACGGAAATATAATCTATTGAACATTAATGTGAAGTTACATTAGCATTCTGAATGTCATATTAAAAAAAGATTTCATACGTGTGCATAAAGTGGTTTAGCAACAGATACTTTACTTTTCTGAGGAAATGGGTACTTCAGTTTTTTTCTGAGGAAATATTCATCAATTAGTTTCTTACTTCGAAATCATAAGAACCTGAAAGAAATACTAAAACAATGGAATCATCTGTCTCTTGCTATTTTTATGAGATAAGGATGAGAAAACCTTGGAGAGGTCAAACTACTTCTTACTACATACAAAGTATAATTCAAAGAATTGAACAGATATAACTAACACATATGTTTTAACAGTTTAGCATTTTTATGTCCTACCTATGAAGAGGGCCATTATGTTTTCCAATCGGTGCATGTATCCGGCCGTTTCATAAAGATTTGTTAACATAAACGTGAAACTTAGAACACATGTTTAATATGATGTGACCGTTTTGAAATATATGCTAAAACAAGAATTGTGATCCATAAGTTGTGGCTCTTTGATCAGTTTAGAGTTTTGGAATAAGCTAAGTTAAAGTTTTTTAACATTGCCATATAAGCCATCACCAGAAGGATAAGCGATTTTATCACTATCGGTTCGAAGGCGATTCTAGGCAACAATGAATAATAAATAATTCTGATAAAAAATGCTGCGAACACATCTTTTGAAGATAAAAATAAAAAAAATGAATTATCAGCGTGTTACAAAAGACAGTTGACTTCTATATTAAATACATTGTTTTGTTTAATGCTATAGCTAATTAATTATCGTTCTGGCCAAACGTAAGACCAGTGTTTACTAAAATTGGTCGTAACATTTGATTAACATTTAGTAACTCTCATGACATATTACATACAATCAAATGAAAAGGTTGTATACTTATTTTTAATACTTAGATATATAATTCAAAGGTCATCTGATCTGCTTAGCCGTTATGGAATATCTTCTTCCTCAATAGTGTTAGGAGGGAGAACGACTAAATTGCTTTGTTGAATGGTCACCATCACGAATTTGTTGACCGATATATTATGTTTGTGTTTTATTGGAGACATATTTTTGCGGTCAGATATCTTTACATACCGAATAGTCGTTTTATCTATAAAGTTTATTGTGTCTTATGCCCTTTTGTGATGTTCTGACTGAGTTAGTATTTTCTATGGTGGTCGATGCATGCATCCATCATGCATCCATGGTGATCAGATATACATTTGAGGAAATCCAGTGTTATTCCAATCGCACCAACATAATTATCTTAAAACAGATAATGTATTACAAAATATCTAGTAAGGCAAGACTCTTCTTAAAATAAAAGCTAAAATAGTGTCATCAATTATATTTAATTATTCCCTTTGCTTATCTAATCATATCATATTTGATTTGGCTTATTGAATTGAATTGGAGTATTTATACATACCTGACTTTGAAATTTTCAGGCTTGAGCGTTCCTGGTGAAGGTAAATACAAAAAAATGCTTTGTACTAAAGAATGTAATGAAATACTAATTTCATTTACTACCACTGGGTTAATACTGTTGCTGGTGGACTGTAAGTCCCTATATGTGTGTTGACTTTAGATAAACTTGCCTATTCTTTTTAGGTCCTTTTTGTTCTTTTAGCTACTAACGTTTCTACGAATCTATACATCCCTAGCTTTTTTTCCTTATGAAGGTTAATCCAGAAAAACGCTTCGCTTGCAAGAAAAGTGCTATTTTCATTTACTAGCACCGAGTCGATACCGCTTTGGTGGACTGTTAATCCCCGATGGTATCTTCAGCTCATGCATTAGTAGACAGTGCTTCGGCGCTGTCATGATTGATAACAATTATTTTAGATAATACAAAACGACGTTTGAACGTTTGTAAGTTGGTAGTCGCAAGATTATGACGAGTGGAAGAATTGACTTATGAGTAACACTGTGTGGCCTTTTCCTCTTTTCTTATATTTAGCGTTAACATTTATTTGTTTGCGATAAGAATGGATAACTATTTGTTGTAATTTGATAATTATCGACACTTTCACGTAAATTAAAATGTAATTAAAACATTGCTGACTTAATGTCTATGCCAATTTCATCTGTTTAAATACATCTTTCTAAATATTTGTACATCGAGAAGTTGATATATTTTTTTCTTTCAGTAACATTTTAGTATATATATGAGGTATGGGTTATCATACCACATCTCATTTTTATATCTATAATCCACAGTGTTTACTCAAAGTTGCCAGGCTTTTGTGCGTATTAAAAAATAATTACACTGGCACCGAACTTTATTTACAATTAACACGGTTATGATTTGAGAAATTTTCTACCCCAAAGTGCATACTGAATTGTATTAAATTTTTCAAAGATCAGGGGGCATAACTCCGGGAATAATAAATGAAGCCGTGCAAAGATTAGACATCCTCTTTTGTAATTGTACAAAGTAAGGTTAAATTTGACAAAGGACACAAACATAGTTGCTGCCTCGGTGGTATTGTTGTATCGTTTTCGCCTCGAGTGCGGGAGATCGTTGATTCGAACATCTACCGGACAAACGATAGACTTTAAAATTGGTATTTGTTGCTTCTCTGCTAATCAGGCGGTACTAAGGAGAAATAGCAAAGACTGGTTGGCTCGGAGTCAGAATAATATGTCCTGGTAGGATGGCATGTCTTCCGTGTGAACTAGCACATTATAATCCGTTTCAGCGTGTCTGTCTAGTACAAAACAGAGTTATATATTCATATTACATTAACATGATCCCGTCTTGAATATGCATTTAATTTTCCGCTGGACGATAAACAGCCATCCCATCATGATCATTAGCATCATCATCAAATGTAAGTTCGGATGGACGCATAGACAGGCTGATTCATATATACCATCAATCTCTGTTGTCGGAGGGTAAAATTATTACGATCTTCCGTCTGACAAAGTTAACATGACTCTGACCTTATTTTTGTGGTTCATTTATCAAAGTTTAGCTGTGTTGTTTAGGCCCAGGTCACTGTATAGCAAAACGTTGATTTAATTTCGCATTCACCTTGGTATACATGCAGCGAAGACTAAAGATATCATTTTATATTAAAGGAAAATCTAGATATGTCTTTCCCGGGATCAACGCAGATTTAAACGAAAAGTACTTAAACGAAGATGTCGTTAATACACTTATCATTTTGCAACATGGAACAGAAAGTGTATGGCAAGACGATTGATATTGGACTTCAAATCGTTGCTCGGTACAGTTAATATTTAGCTAAGGACCTTGATGAAGTAACTGTTAAACACCATCTTGAACCTCAATTTTTTATGGTGTCTTGAGTATATTTGCAGTTTTATTAAAAGATATCATATCTACCACTAAACACAAATCTTATCATTGACAGTAGTAAAAAAGTAACAACTAGTTGACGCAGAATAGGTAGCACTTCCTGTCGATGATTTAATGGCGATCAAATATATAGATTCTGATGAAGTAAATTAACACAATTTTGCATGTGTGTTTTGGTGTGTATGTAATACAAATGATACAACATATGTCAACTATGTTCAACTCCCCCTCACATTCAGAAATTTGTCTTACGCAGTCTGCGCAAAGTCAACACACTCTGTCTCATATTATGTTTGTGGCGTTAAACAGTTATTTGTCCATTCCATCAAGACACTCGTCGATTGGGTATTTGACACTGGAAGATTTAATTTTCTACTGAACAAAACGTTCTTAGACTGTAATATTGAGATCTAAGGTAAACATCGTTAGTATTTGAAAAACATAAGGATAAATACCGAGTCAATGATGTAAGAATGAGGGTTAAAGAAATTTGAGTCAAAGGGTAATACAAAAATGAGACAAATAGTTCAGTGAAAATGGACGTCACACTTAATCTGCTATGCATTCAATACCTAGTATTTTAAAAGTAAAAAAAATGCCAAAGGCCAATTACCAAAATCACCAAAGTTAACAAATGTGTTCCTCTGATTTAAAGCAATAGTCAGCGTTTCTGCCAACTCATATATAAGGGCCGAAAATAATGTTTAAAAGAGAGGCGGAAGATACTAAAGGGATATTAAAACTCATAAGTCGATGATAAACTGACAACGCCATGGAAAAAACGAAAAAACGAAAAATTCAAGACTGCGCAACACGAATCCCACCAAAAAAAAACGGTGTTGATCTAAAGGAGCTCCGGAAGGGTAAGCAGATCCTGATCCACATGTGGTTACGACAATAATATTTAACCTTGAAATTTAGTTGTAATTAGATAGATCACTTGTTATGATTTTTCTTTTATGTGAAAAATCATCAATAGAAGGATACTACATGCATGAAACGGATTTCTCTGGTAGTAACTACAAACCCGTAAAAATAAAATGTACTTGTTGACTTTATTGGATCGAACTCCTTCAACTTGAGCGTTGTCCGTAATTTGGTAATGGCATTATTCATAGTTTCGAAATAGTAAAATTATTCTGTAAATCTAAGTTTAATTTCATTCGAATAGTAGATTTTGATAAAGTGGTCTTTTCAATGATACTTTTGTAATGTTGCAATGGTGGATTTACCAGAAATGTGTATTGTATGATTGATTTATTGTTGTAAACTTTGCTAAACGTTTAATGGCAACTTGAACATATGTATTGTAAGGATCAAATTGATGAAAGATAAATAATAACACGAATTCAATGATAACATAATTCACTATAATCTATTTTTTTTAAATTTCTGTCTTATAAAAATAAGAAGATGTGATATGATTGCTAATGACATAGAAGTTAACAACAATAGGTCACTGTACGGCCTTCAAGAATGAGCAAAACCCATACCGCATAGTCAGATATTAAAGGTCCCGAATTGAAAAAATGTAAAACAATTCAAATGAGAAAATTAACAGCCAAATTTATGTACAAAACAATGAACGAAAAACAAATATGATAAATAGAAACAAACGACAGCCACTGAATTACATGCTCTTCACTTGGGACAGGCACATACATAATAATGCGCGGGGTTAAACTAGTTTGTTTGTGCAAAACCTTTCCCCTAACCTGGGAGAGTACAACATAAAAACAAACTATAAAAATCAGTTGAAAAGGGCTTAACTCATCAGATCGATACGAAGCAGAAAAACATCTAATAAAAGTACAGAACGGACGTGACAGGGTACTTATACATCCCCACAACAGATCTGAGAGTACTCGCAGCGTCTTACAGATAGTTCAATGGATTTAGTGTAAAGACGTCATTAATAGTCAGAGAAAAAACATGACCTTGTGCAATGCCAAGATACAGGTATCGACTTGAATATGCATATGTATATAACAATAATATTTAGTTTGATTTTAATTTACTGATAACAAAATCAATATTTATACCAATTAAACAATATTCAAAGATCTAAATAGCGTGTTGAATTGATAACCTTTTATAATGAGTTTATTAAAAGGATCGATAAGTTTTCCCGGATCGTATCTAAATTTCCGGGCTCGGTAAACAACATCACAGTAAAATTATGATATGCTATTCCGTTTGCATTAAGTTTTGTACATGTGCAACAGGCCTTGCATGCTTATAAAAAGAGGCAAAAGTTACCAAAGGGACAATCAAGTTACAAGAAGTTGGTAACCAAAAGGTGCCATCAATTAAGAATTTTTCAAACATTATGTCAAGCAAATAGTTGTAAAATCTAAATTTATTTTGTTTTCTTGATACAAAACATTTACTGAATAACTTATTTCGCAGTTTTTTTAACTCATTTATGAACATGAGAAAACGAGGACATAAGTGTTATCGTCGACGCAATTCAATACAAATAGCTTTCGATAATCATTACTGAAGATAATGTCAGTAGGTCTGTATATATCATTTTCTGTATTCAGGATGATATCAAGGAATTTTCCATTAGATGTAATTCGTTGAATAGTATTTGAACTTTCATACGCCACGTATAAATTACCTTTTTTGTCGGTAGTAAGAGCCATTGGTTCTTTGAGATAGGCTGAAGTGTATCTAAATAGTTGTTCTCCTTCCAATGTTACATTACCTACAGCTTTGCTATCTGTATAGTAAACACTTTCATCAGGACCTGGATACAAACTTGTTATATAACAAGCCTTCGGTATATTCACTTTTTTTATACATTTCCCTTGCTTATCAAGTATGTATAAGTTTTCACGGCTAAAATACCCACCGACACAAATCTTATCGTTGACAATAGTGACATCCCAACAAGCAACAGGTATGGAATGTGAAGAACCAGCTTTCATTGTTTTAATGTCGATAAATTGTATTGAATTCAGACTAGGTAAAGTAACGACAGCTTTGTCTTCACCGGGTATAACAGCTATATCCCATGATTTACCAGACAACTCACAATCCTGTAAGTAATCGCCCCGATCACTGTATACCAATAGGTGGAAGTTACTACATAGTAGGAGACGATTATCATCTGTTATATCAATTTTTCTAATAATTGTATCATCAGGTCTTTTGATTTCTATTTTACGGTCTAATGTAAACTTCGTTGGCATTTGAGAAACTACTGATCGAACTTGAACTTGTTGAATTTTCGGTGGCTTAAAATCTGCCTTGTATTGCAAGGTATTTATTCTGGTTGATGCCAAAGATGTTATGGTATTTTGAACATCTTCTTGCGGTTGAAATATCATTCTTCCTGTCATAAGTGTTGGCAGGATGTTTTGAAGTTTGATCTCCAAGGCAGTAATTTCAAGTTTATACTTATTAATCAGGATAAACAATTGTTTTTGTGAACCATACTTGGATACTTGATCTATTTTCCTTGACATCTTTTTAATTGGTCTTTTAATCTGCAATAAACTGGTTTTATGTGATTCAATTCTAGCACATTGTTCATTATTTAACGCACTAGTTTCATGTATAATTATTCCTTCAAGTTTGTCTAATCGGTTAATCATTTTAGTTTTGTAACTCGCAAGTTGACTTGAAATCGTAGCTTCATCATCATTAAGATTTTCTATATTTACATCTTGACTTGTGATTGCTGTATTTAATGTCGTTCTAATGTTAGATACAGCATTATATACGTCTTGAAACATAACTGAATGTTTTACATCTTTTGCTGCATCTTCTAAAGGAAGCACATTTTGACACGAATTATGTTCCTCGATCTTGCAAGATAGACAACATAAGCAATCATGTACAACACAGAAGAAATCGAGAATGCTGCCCTCGTGGTTTGTACAAAAGTTCTCTAAGGATAATGTTCCAATATCAGTCAAATGGTGCTTGCAAAAGACTGCATTCGTGTTGTGGTTTGATATACATTGCCGACAAAGCTTATATTGACATTCAGAGCAAAACTGAATTGCCTCCAATACAACATTTTTACTAGAACATGGGTCGCATGTTAACCATGAGGTGTCCATTTTCTTTTCAGAGACGAAGTATTCTAAAATGTAAATTGTAGTAATTTGATTTAAATTTACACGATTAAGTCCTGTTATATGAACTATGACAATAAATGTTAATATTAGAATATCAATACAAACTCTAACATCGTAAGTTTGTGATTGTAATTTTTGTGAATATACCGTACATGTGTAACAGTACCCAATTAACACCCATTTTGCAAAAAAGTACTATAGTGACGAATATCTTAGAGACTCAAGAATTTGTACACTATGCACGTCTTTCAAAATAGCTAGATATTCTCTTCTCTAATATACACTAAACGGTCACATTATATATCAACAGATGAAGTGTCGAGTTAAAACAGTTAAAATTCATGGAAACGTTGCATGCAATGTCAACTAAAAGTCGACGTTTAAAAATGAGAAATAAAAAATACATGTCACAGACATCCATTTCATACAAAATGCATAAACAAGTATGAACTATTGACTGATTGTTCAAAAAATTTGGAGAAATAAACAAAACATCAGTTATTCGATTTGTACGTATGTGTAGTTAAGCATGAGGGCTATTTTGGTACTCCACACTAGAAAATATTGAATTGTTTGGAGGTTGCTTCAAACTTATTCGTTAATGAGTTAGTATGGATTCATAATTACATTTGAGGGACTAAATAGTAAATAAGGATACAGTTACAAAATAAATAGAGAATGGAAACTTTCTTCTGTTTCTTAAATAATTGAAGGTGAAAAAACTGTCATAATAGAGATTTCCAATAAAATGACATACGTACCTACCTCGACGTACGCACGTAACGGGACCGGTTATTGCTAACCTATTAATTTTGTTAAGTGCGTCACTTAAGTTTTAACTAAGTATTCCTAAACTATTAAACCCATTCATGATAAATGTTATCAATATCAAGTATTTCTAAGATGATGAAAAACGAAAGAAATCATGATTTTTATATATCACGTGATTATTGAGATTCCCGCCAAAATTTCACTGTCATGAGACCACGTATATACACGTATCTTTACCTATCATACAATTGATTTGAGTCGTCTATCATGGTTTTGACCATGACTTTGTTTTTCGATATACTTTGCAAATGAACCTTTTATTATTTAATATTTGACATGCTTTTGTTTTTCGTTATCAGATTGGTGTCCCTTTTTCCTTTCGTCTCTTAATGTTTTATAATATTTAATTTCCGTGGGTATTTATTATTAGACAGAGATTTTTCCAGCAATTTCAGAAATATCGAATTCAACGTGTTAGTCAGAATTTGTCTCTGTTAAAGTTGATGACTGGGATTGCATCATACTTTATTAAGCATCATTTCAAACGTTCTCTTCTTCTGCAGTTAATCTTGTCTTTTTACAATCTCCGATTTTTTCCCAGGGAAATCGTTCGACAAAGGGATGTGTATGTATAAAAAATATTAATACAGTTCTTGTACTTCTTTAAGTTTTAATAGTTGACATACACTTTTCTTTCAAATGAAAGTCAACATTAAAAAAAAGAATTTTGTAATTAATAAAGATATAATGTAAATAAATGTGTACACCAATTCGTTATATATAGATTGTAATTTGGAAGGTGTACTTGATTAGCAATTGATGACTAATCTGCATATAAATATTGACCGCTGTGGATAGTAAACTATCAATTTATAGTACATAGTAATTGGCTAAAAAAATGTTCTGTCCCCAAGTATCTCTGATTAAAAAAGGACGATAATGCCAATTTATATACTTGTTACATTTTTAAAACAACTATAATGCCACTTCAGTCTTTACAGTAATTTTCTTTTTAAAATGTACTTTTAATTGGTTAGGCTTGAAATTGTCATAGTTGTTTTTGGATTAAGACAACTCTTACTAATCCAATAAGAAGTGGATTCTAAAACTATCACACATTGATTGAGTTAAGCAAAAAATTTATCTTCAATTTTTGTCTCGCCTTAGAGGTATATATTTATATATAAAAGTTAAACTCTACGACATATCCATGCATAGGATCACCAGTGAAGGTGATACACGGCTGAAAACACATTTTATATTAATAATTACTTTAAATATGTATATAGTTATCAAAGGTACCAGGCTTATAATTTGATACGCCAGACGCGCGTTTCGTCTACATAAGACTCATCAGTGACGCTCAGATCAAAATAGTTAGAAAGCCAAACAAGTATAAAATTGAAGAGCATTGAGGACCAAAAATTCCATATGTAAACCAAGCTCTCTGAAGGAAGGTGTTTCCAGGTTGTTCTTATGTCTTGCTGTTGCAACACTGTCCCAGGCTTAGGGGGAGGAGGTTGAACACTCATTCCTTATGTGCCTGTCCCATGTCAGGAGCCTGTGGTTCACTTGTTGACATTGGTTCATATCTGTTATATTTGTTTTCCATAAATTGTTTTGTTTAAAATCAGGCCGGTAGTTTTCTCAATTGACTTGTTTCATATTTTTTAAGTTGGTTCCTTTTATAGTCGACTATATGGTATTGTTTTTTTTCCATTGATGAAGGCCGTACGTTTGCCTGTCATTGCTTACATCCACTTCATTTCTTATTGGCAATCATACCATATCTCCTTATTTTTTTATTATTTTTTAACTAAATATGTTTAATATTCTCAGGTAATTTAACATGTAAGAATTAGCTTTCAGTACCTGTGGGTACTTTAAGATCGGTACTCTTTGTCTTTCATTATAAAAATGTAATTGTTTTACATGTAGGCTTAATTCAATATTGATTAGTTGAGCTGTTTCCAACTGAATTTTACAGGTTTTTTTCTATTTATATTGTGCTGTTACACCAGAGTGTTGAGCGCTGGTAAACGCGTTTAATCAGGCCAAATTCTATATTGGCTTTCCCCAAGTCAGGAGCTTTCAATTCAGTGGATGTCGTTGGTTACCTCATGTCATTTTTGGGTTAATTTTACTCTTGTAAAAATGTTTATTTTCGTTTGAACTGTTTACATTTTTCAAAGTCAATACCTTATATACTATAGTATCTGATAATACGGTATGAGTGTTTGCTTATTGTTGACGACAGCACGAGCCACTGTAGTCGCTATTTGGACTCTTTTTGATAGTTGGACGCTCCAAACGGATCCAGGTATATACATGTCGGAGTGTAAGGAATAAATCGAAAAAAGAATGCATGCTAAGCATACTAATGCTTTTGAAGAGAAAATTGAAAATATGTGTTGAACCGGGACAGAATGGCGGACGGACAGACAGAGTGATTGCAATATGAGTGTAGGTACAATATTTTATCAGTGTATGTATCTTAGATGCTAGTTGTAAGGAAGTCTGGATCAAAACGGGGTAATCTTTACTTGTTAAAAAATATTTTATACTATTTAGAATAATAGTTGCATGCCTACTGGATATTAATACAATAGCAAGTCACAAGGATAATGGAAGCTGTGAAACACCATTTTACAATAAAAACTAAGCTTTTTGATACAAAGAAACAAGGAGAAAAACCAAACAAATTATGCAACAAAACAAGTGTTGCTAGAATAGTAATATATGCACATAAAGCATAAAATATATAAACAGGTTTTTATTAAATATGGGATTGACTGGTAGCAGATTAGCCTCGATTACGAGTTCAATTATTTTGTTGGACCCCCTGATCGAATTATTTTAAGACTGGATTTTTCGGCTTCACCACCAAGCGTGATGCATTCACGAGTAAGAGCAGGTGTTGGATTAATCGAAGAAAGACAAGTGTGTCTTTGTATCGGGTACGCTGATTTATCTAGCATATAAAAATGCGACTGTAAGTGTTAGTCATGTACAAAAAGGTATAATCACTTATTATTATCATTTCATCATCCTTAATATATATGTAATATTTGTCGCTAGATATAAGACAAACATCAGTATCATCATCATCATAAGTATTATAGCTTGAGGCTAAACATTCGTCGTATTTATTATAGCTTGTAAGTATCATAGCTTGAGGCTAAATTATTATCTGATATTTTAGCCAATTTATGTCGAGAACTTATTTTGCGCATGCATCTCTTTTCTACATAGTTTTTATGAATGTCCAAGTTAAAGCTAATAGAGATCATAGAAGTATGTTTATCAAATGATCATGTCTACTCACAATTAAAACAGTTAGAAAGGGATTGACTCGTCCGACTAAAACGAAGCACAAAAACAGCAATTACTAGTATTTCGTGATAAACTCAATGTACCGATCTTAGAGTATTCACAGCTACTGAACACTATCTTAAAAACAACCACAACTAATAAATACAGAATAATTATCCAGTCTATCTAATATTAATCAATTATTTCGTACTGTTACTGTTACACCACTGTATGAGGTAAGTGGGCCGTTAACATGTTTAACGCCGCCACATTATGTATGTATGTGACTCTCCCAAGTAAGGAGCCTGTAACTCAGTGGTTATCGTTTGTTGCTGTACGTTCATTTTTTTGTACATTATTTAGGCCGTTAGTTTTATAGTTGCAGTTGTTTTACATTTGTCATTTTGTGGCCTCTTATTGCTGACTATTCGGTATGGGCTTTGCTCATTGTTTAAGGTCGAACGGTGGCCTATAGTTGTTAATTTCTCTGTCATTTGGTCTCTTGTGAAGAGTTGTCGAATTGGTAATCATACTACATCTTCTTTTTTTTGTACATATCACAAATTAAATAAAAAAGTACAAAAACACTCTACAAAAGCAAGATTTGTGTCATGTCAAAAGCACAGAGTATCTGTAGGACCATTAGTGTTCATAACTGTATTATAGCAGATTATATGTAGTTTCTATAAAATGTAATGATAATTTATCAGTAAAAGATACGTGATTATTTGTTAGTGGAATTATACATAGCTAAATAAATGAATATTTATATTAAAAGAAACATCAGAAACGGTATATGTGTCCATTAGATTACCCGCCAGTATCACATTTCCGTGTTATGTGAGCTCTAAATCCAGGGAAAAAAATCCAATTCAGTTTGTAGTCTTAAACTTTTAAATCTCGTGCGAAATGTCTAAATTAA